TGAGGAATGTAATTAATTAATTGACTAATGTTAGGTTGCTTAACTGGTTAGTGTTTGATTGATTTGCTTGTTAATTGTCTTTAATTAATTGTCGGGGGGGATCTGTTAATTGCTCAATAAAGTGAATGGTCATTAATTATTGATTGATCAACATTAATACATGTGTGACCATGTGTGAGGTTAGAAAAATGAGTTCATAACATACAAATGTAAAAACAAAATGAAAATTACAATACGTTTTTTGTAGAAGAGCCGTGTGCCATTTTTAGCTTTAACGGCAATATTAAATTTGTGAATGTGCCTGGATTCAGTTTGTGTGCTGTTCATTGAACCCAATCGTAAGTAAGTAGGTCAAAAAACTGCAAACTCAAATCCGAACCCCATTGAAGTCTATGGAAGTGAATTTTTAAAATAATTTCTGGTCATTTTAAATGGTTATTAGTAGGGATGCACCGATGCTAGTATCTGTATCGGTGCCGAGTACTCACCCAAATGCTCCGATGCCTAGCAAGATACCTGAGCTTCTGGTATCAGGAAGCCGAGCAGCATGTCATTACACGCTGCCCGGCCTCCTGATTGGCCGGGAAGCCAGCTCCATGCACCCTCGTCTAAGCCACATTCCCGGCCAATCAGGAAGCCAAGCAGTGTGTAATGGCTCGCCACCTGGCTTCCTGATTAGTGGGAAGCTGGCCAGTCAGGAAGCCCGATGACTAGTCCCCCCGCCCCTCTGGTGATGAGAGAGCATGGAGCTGGCTTCCCAGCCAATCAGGAGTCATTACATGGCGCCCGGCTCCTGATTGACCAGAAAGTCGGCCCCATGCTTCCTCGTCACTTCGTGATGAGGCAGCATGGACAGCTACCCTGCTAATTGGAAGCTGGGTGGTGAGTCTTTACACACTTCCCGGCTCATCAGAAAGCCAGGTGGCGAGTCATTACACGCCACCTGGCTTCCATAATGGGATTTCCGGTATCGGTATTCAGTATAGGCAAGTACTGGAAAAAAAATTATTGGTACTCATACTCTATACCACAAAAAATGGTATCGGTGCATCCCTAGTTATTAGACAAGGGATTGTCAAAGGGAATGGGAAGCTGGGCAGGCACTGCCATAGAGGACAATTACCCATGTAATGGAAAATTATAAAGAAAAATACTGTACAGCGGGGAGATAGTCCTCCTATTTTATGCTTCTATTTTATGCGACTTTGAGGGTGACATGGGAAAAACACTATTCCTTTCTTATATGTGTGCTTGGGAGATGCCGATAAGTGATATGCAGTATTACAGAACTGTAGGATTCTCATAGGCAGCATCAGCAACACTGTATTCTGGCATTGCATTATTTAGTTGTGTAATTGAATGTTTCACTTTGACATTTAGCTTGGCTTAAACAGTGCAGCAGCGCCCCAATCTGATGCATTTCAACTTAAAAAAAAAAAAAAACTGGTAGTTTGAGCTGCGACTGTTTTTTTCTCATGCAGTGCTAATGGGCCTGAATTGGCAAGTAAAACTGGGAGCCACAACCTGTGTACTCTAAAAAAAAAAAAAAATGAAAGCCCTCAACTTAGTACCATTTGACCAGGGGAAGAAAAGTTTTGTAGTATAGCTTTTGGTTTTCTTTTTTTGCAGTACCACACTGTTTTATCTTAAAAGTGTTTATGATGATGATTATTATTACAGGTATTAATATAGCACTGAAATTTGAGCAGCATTTTACATACTGCACATTCACATCGGTCCCTGCCCTCAAGGAGCTTACAATCTAAGGTCCCTATCTCACACACAAACAGGGCCAATTTACCTTCCAGCATGTCTTTGGAATGTGGGAGGAAAACCCACACAAGCACAAGGAGAACATGCAAACTCCTTTGCAAATGGTGATCTGGTCGGGGATTTGAACCAGGGACCCCTACTGCTGCAAGGCAGAAGTGCTAACCACTAAGCCACTGTTCTAACAAAGTCAAAACAGAATCTACAAAAAAATGAATAAGTACATTCTTCTTTATTACAGCAGTCACTCTGATTGGCCAGAGTAGGGATGTCCAGATACCAGTGCCGATACTTGGCATTTTTATGAGAACTACCAGGGTTGGAGAGGTTGCAGCTGGGACCTGGCTCTGGCGCTCCACCACTGTCCTGAAATCTGTATTGTTTTAGAAAAAATTTCACATGACAATAAACAAAAAGGTATCAGTACTTGTATCTGTGAGTTGGACAAGTATCAGTATTTGTACTTGGAAAAATGGTTTCAGTACATCCCTTTATATATGTTTATAGAAAAAATATAATGCATTAAAATGGCGATTCACAAATCCCAGGAGCTCCTTACAAATGACAGCGGCCTCCTAACTTTTGAATTATTCTCTAGTCTAGTCTTGGAGCTGGAAAGGTATCTGTACTTGTACTTGTACCGAGTATGGTACTTGGTATCTGAACATCCCTAGCCCAGAGAGCACAACATGGCTAGTTAAAATCTTCTTTACTTTTGTTTAATAATGGTGTCTTCACCTTAGCACTGGGTTTACTTCTACTATATTTCATGTGCACTTGCTTTACACCAATCAGCCATAACATTCTGACCACTTGAGAGGTGAAGTGAATAACATTGATTGTCTGGTTACAATGACACCTGGGAGTAGATTGTATCTATTAGGCAGCAAGTGAACATTATGTCCCTGAAGTTGATGTGTTGGAAGCAGAAAAAATGGACAAGTGGAAGGATTTGAGCGACTTTGACAAGGGCCAGATTGTGATGTCTAGACGACAGGGTCAGAGCAACTCCAAAACTTGTGGGATGTTCCCAGTTTGCAGTGGTCAGGACCATCCAAAAGTGGTCCAAGGAAGGAGAATTGGTGAACCGGCAACAGGGTCATGGACGGGCAAGGCTCATTGATGCACATGGGGAGCGAAGGCTGGCCCGTGTAGTCCAATCCAATAGAAGAGCTACTGTAGCTCAAATTCCTGAAAAAGTTAATGCTGGTTCCGATAGAAAGGTGTCTGAACGCACAAAGCATCGCAGTTTGTCGTGTATGGGGCTGTGCAGCCACAGACTGATCATGGTGCCCATGCTGACCTCTCTCCACTGCCAATAGCATCTGCAATGGGCACATGTGAATCGGATCTGGACCCCGGAGCAATGGAAGAAGGTGGCCTAGTCTGATGAATCACATTTTCTTGTACACCATGTGGATGGCCGGGTGCGTGTGTGTCACTTATCTGAGGAAGAGATGGCACCAGGATGCACTATGGGAAGAAGGGAAGCCGGCGGAGGCAGTTTGATGGTTTGGGCAATGTTCTGCTGGGAAACCTCGGGTCCTGCCATTCATGTGGATGTTACTCTGACACGTACCACCGACCAAAACACTGTTAATGACCAAGTACACCCCTTCATAGAAACGGTATTCTGTGATGGCAGTGGCTTCTTTTGGCAGGATAATATGCCCTGCCACACTGCAAACATGGTTTGAGAAACACAACAACGAGTTGAGGTGTTGACTTGGCCTCCAAATTCTTCAGATTTCAATCCAATTGAGCATCTGTGGGATGTGCTGGAAAAACAAGTCAGATCCATGGAGGCCGCACCTCACAACTTACAGGACTTGTAGGATCTGCTCCTGACGGCCTGGTGCCAGACACCACAGTACACCTTCAGGTCTAGTGGAGTCCATGCCCGGATGGGTCAGGGCTGCTTTGGAGGCAAAAGGTGGACCTACTCAGTATTAGACAGGTGGTCATAATGTTAGCAACCATAGCAACCAATCTCTCGTCCTAAATATTACGTATAATAAAGACAAAACTTTTTTTTTTTATTTGGACAGAGTCATAAAGGGGGGATTAGAAGCCCTGATAGTCTTTTATTGCTGTCAGCGAATCTCCCTAATGGAGACACAATCTGTAATTGTCCTGAACACCAACGTCACCAGGAATGCTGGCTCTTTTGCATCATAACATCATGCTAAACACACAATATCCATGTATTTAGTGAGTGCTTAGGCACAATGCACATAGCATGCGGAACTGGGCCCTGGTGCCTTAGGGTTAGACCTGCCCTGCTGTTCATTTCAAAGGCACCCCAACAAACCTCCTGCTGGCTTTGCAGTGCATAGCAGCACAACGCGCAGTACCATATTATGCGTTGTGGTGCAAAAAAAAAAATTGGATGTACATGGTGTAAATGAACACTAAAAGTGAGGATTCATCCAAAATTTTGATTTGCATCTAGAACAAGATTAGAGGGGATATTCTCCAACCCAATGGGGACACTTGTTTCCATGACAACTCTCTAAGGCCCCATTCACACGTAGCGATTTATCGCGCGATTTCCGCCGCGATAGCGCATATTTTTGCCGCGCGATATCGCGAGAAGTCGCCGGCTTATGATATTCAATGGAGCAGTCTTAGCTCCATGTCGCGCGTCGCTCGTCGCGGTCGCAAGTCGCTTCTACAGGACCCTTTTTTCGGCGGATTTTGCTTTTCTCTAATGGAGCCCGACGGAGAAGGTTGCGCTAGCGTCGCTGGATCGTCGCCCCGAAAGTCGCGCTATCCCGGCCACTGCAAAAGGTATGTCACTACGTGTGAATGGGGCCTAAGGCATCATATTCCTCACATTGGGAAGTTACCCTCTCATTTTCTGTTGTGTCTACACAACAGGAAGTGAGGAGAAATCTCCCTGAGACACATGGCAACAAAAAAAGACTGACAGCGGGTTTAACTCTGCACTATTTTATTCCGAATGAAAAAAAGGAAGCTTGGGCTATAGATATATTGTAATCCTATTATTAATAACTGTAACCAGTGCTGCAGCTTTTAAAATTCCCAATTATAGTTATTTTCTTAAATAGGGTATTACAATCCTCCATTTATACACAGATTTCTTAAACAGGCAATAGACAACCTTCTACTTCTTTATTATAACAGCATTGATGCGCAAACGTAACATAAATAATGGTAACAATATTATTCAATACGATTATAAATAATAGAGTACAACAATTTTATAGAATACGGTATCATTGAACCATATGTTATCAAATACTACACTCCTACACCTACACTACTACTACCGGTACTACACACTATAAAGCGACTGTTCGCTTGTTCATTGTACGATTGTGTCGATAAAGTTGAGCGAAAACAGCCCCTGTTGCTAAGACGCAGACAGGAGGACGCTGCTGTACGGAAAACGTGTGGGCGAGAAAACGAGCAGCCAATCAGGAGGCAGTGTGCGGCCGGTGACGTCAGCGACCGGGAAGGAACTGTACGGACGGTAGAGGTTGCACAGTGGTAGGTGAGTTGGGGTCACGGCTGTGCCTCTGTGTGTCAGTGGGAGGTTGTGGTACCGCGTTCTGTTCTGGGAGGGGGGTTATATATTCCCATAGACCGCCACATGGTCTAGAGAGGTGTCTGTGTCTCCATAGACCGCAGCAGGCTCATTCAGCCTGTGGTACTGGAAACCTGGGTATCCCATCACAGTGTAGAATTGGACATCTATAACCATTGGATACCTATAGGTTGCACCGCACTGATACAGTAAAGGGTTAACACTGCTGTACATAGTATGGTATCACCATTTCACTGATTTCTGGCATCACCTGGGATTTCTATGGGAGCAACAAGCCCCTGAGAATCTAAATCCATTAATATGCCTGAATAGATGGAAGATCTCTGAGATGTATTGCTCTTTCCCACATAGGAAAGGGAAGGGTCCCCTTAGTTCACTGCATGTAAACATTGGCCGAACTGGGTATAAAAGTTTTAGCAGGTTCAGTCATGTGACTCTTTACAGCCAAATCTGTCACCCAATGACATGATGAGAGATCTGCCCATGTATATCCATCACTACGGTGGGAATATCCCTCTGGTGGGTCTGTTGTACAGATTTGTATAAATAATTGAAGATTTAAAGCAGAACTCTGGGCAAAACTGTTCTTGAACCTTGCAGTGGGGCTACCCTGGCACTGCAAGGGTTAAGTGCTAACTTTTGTCTTGGACCAGGAAAATAAAACAGTTCTACTCACCCGATCTCTGGAGCTGAGCCGGCTTGCTGTTAAACCGGTCCCTGGAGCTCTCTTCCCCCTCCGATGCAGTGGTTTATGGATCCTTGAATCATTACACATGTTCTATGCAGTGTACAGGAAGTGAGGACGCCGGGGGATATACCATCGTTGTAGAGGAGGGGGAGCAAGGCTTCAGGGACCAGAGTAGCAGCCAGCTGGCTCCTCAGTTCGGGTGAATATAACTGTTTTTTATTTTAGCACATAGACAAAAACGAGCACTTAACCTTTGCAGTGCGGAGGCAGCATTCATGGAAACTAGGGATGCACCAATACCGGTATTTCAGTATCGAGTACCGATATTTATTTATTTTTGTACTCGCCGATACCGGGTACCGGAAGTCCCATTCAGGAAGCCAGGCGGCATGTAATGACTCGCCACCTAGCTTCCTGATTAGCCGGGCAGCGTGTAAAGACTCGCCAACCGTTTTCCCAATTAGCAGCTTTCAGGAAGCCGGGCGCTGTGTATTGACGTGGCTCCATGCTCCCTCTTCATGGGTGATGAGGGAGAATGAAGCCGGCTTCCCGACCAATCAGAAAGCCGCGTCGTTGCACGGTGCCTGGCTTCCTGATTGGCCAGCTTCCAACCAATCAGGAAGTTAATAACCGAGCTAAAGTGAGCAGAGCAACGCTTTCATCTATTCACTTCGGCTCAGTATGGCTGATTTCAGCCGTACATCGGCTGCACTGCGGTTATGTTCGGCTGAGCCGCAGGCCAGAAGGACTTTGACTCAGCCGATCCAACATCTGGATTGGCTGAGCCGAAGCTCCGACAGCTAGCTCGCTGCCGTTCGCCCCTATTCACATAGGGTCGGAGCGGCAGTGAGTGACTAGCCGAATAGCAAATAGTGAAAAAAGTTGGGGGGAAAACCCTGAAAAAAATGTTTAAAAATTTAAATAAATATTAAATGTAAAAAAATAAAGGTTTTTTTTTTTTTTAGAAAGAAAAAAAAATACGCTGATCTGTCATTACAACTGGCCAGAGCCAGACGTGAGATCACGGCTGGCTCCGCCCAGCTGTCATTAGCGGGGCGAAAGGCCGGCCTTCGTTCGTCCCGCTTCGGCTGAGCCACTCCGCGCCTTCGGGTGCTGTACGGGCTATTGTGAATAGCCCGTACAGCTGCCCTTCAGTTCTACTAAACCGAAGGGCTGCGGCGGCTGAAGAGAGCCGAAGAAGCAGCTGAAGATATGGCTGGATCCTACAGCTCCTTTCTGAATAGACCCCTAAGAGTGTTAAAGCGGACCTTTACACTAAAAAAAATCAGATTCTACCAATGCATCCCTCTATGTATGATGATGAATAATAACATAGACATGTCAGGTGTAAAATGCTGTGATTGTGAAATACTTACACTCGCAGAACATTCACTTCCTGCTTTGAAAGAGCAAAATGACTTCAGATTGCCAAAGCAATGCACACTGGGATTATCTTGTCATCCGCAGAGCATTGTTGGGAAATCTCATCTGTAATCTCAGGGAAAGGCATTTTCCTCCGCTGAGATGATGTGCATGGTCACATGTCCTAGTCACATGTGCCAGAAATCCAGGAAGTAACTGGAGAGCTAGTAATCTGCCCTTAGTAAACATGGCCACTGTCAGAAGAATGGGGAAGAAAAGAGAAATAAGATCTGCAAAGAATACAAAGCCGGCAATTATCTTGAAGTATGTGATAGTAGATTGTCATTACTAAACATTTTGTTTGCTTTTTATTTGTTTGTCACTGGCGGTGTTAGGCAATGTCTCAGAACAAGTGTTCATTGTGGGGTTGATGTATAAAGGCTTTGCCCAGCGTATAGCTGGGTAAATTCCGTTTGCACATCATCACAGCGGCTGGATGGTGCAGAGAACCATAGGAAATTCCTGTGCTGATCTACCTGCATCTATCTGCTATAAGGCAATGCAGACTGCATTCACCCAGCTATACCCTGGGCAAAGCCTTTATACATCAGCCCCTGTACATTCTGGCTTTCATTCTCATCACATGCAGGTCAGTGACTCAAAAAGCCCTAAAGCCGAAAGACAGCCATGCAACCAGTGTTCCTCGAAAATCAGCAATGACATCCTTTGTATTTCTCTTTAGTATAGGTTTCCTTGAAAGGACAGGTTCACTTTAAGATAAAAACTCCCCAGACTCCACTTCCTTAGCCCGCTACCCAATTCTGAGCTAACCCCCTATCCAGTGCCCACTTTTCTCTTTCCGGTGGTGGAGGCCTCCTATGTTGCAGGAATCTTGTATCTGTTTCCACTAACCCTTGTGAGTACATATGTGTTTCCACATGCAGTGTGTGTCGCCATTTTCTTATTTCATGTTTTTTCTTATTATTTTGAGTTTGATGGATTGTGTGTACTGCATTGCTCACATCCCCTCCCTTCCATGGTAGGAAAATCCCCAGATGGCTTAATAGGCTTAGTGCATCCTCCTTGTCAATTGATGCTAATGCAGAAGAACTTATCTCCTGCCATGATAACTGGCCTGCATCTCTCTCTCTCCACAGGTGGCAAGGTGCACAGAGCAGGGTTTACCTGAACATATCGTTAGTCCGTGCCCCCTATTAGGCAAGTATGACATCCTTTTGTTTCCGTTTGTCAGTTTTCCTTTGCTGAGCCAGTTTACCGACATCTTTATAGGAAGTGGAGATACTACGTAGGGGTATGAGGGCTTGTCCTGCCTTTTAGATACATCCTCTGATTACTGTGTGACATTATAATGTGGTGCTTTTGTCTTTTTTACTTTCAGGCCCTCTCCACCTATGTTTTAGGCTATAAGCTGTAACAATAAAGATAATTAGAAAAATGTAAAGTGATGCTCCAGCTTTGTTTAGAAGAAAAACAAAACAAAAATCATTCCCATCCAGGTAAATGTTATTTGTAGTCGGGATTTTAACCGACATTATCATCGATAATTACTTTTCTCTATGCTTGAAATATCGATGTAAGACTTGCCAGCACTCATCAGATTAAAGTGGACCTTTACCCCCTTTTGGCTCAAAATCACCTCCGCATACAATTTTGCATGCTGATCTTACATTCATTAGTTAGGCAAACATATTTTGTGTGCCCAAGCTTTGTATCCTGGGAAGGTTACATCAGCAGAGCATTGCCCCCCACGCTTCTGACAGTGGCCATTTTTTACTAAGGGCAGATTAATCCATCTCCCTTTACTTCCTTGAACTCTGGCACATGTGACTAGGACATGTGACCATGCACATCATCTCAGGGGAGGAAAATGCCTTTCCCTGAGATCTCCTAAGATTACAGATGAGATTTCCCAGCAATGATCTGCTGATGTAATCTTCCCAGGATGCAACGCTTGGGCACATTACTTCACTAATGCCCAAGAGGACCAGGAAGTGGAAAAGCAATATTTGTAATTAAAAGAAAAATATTGTTTGTAATGAATGTAAGATAATTTCATATCAGCACGCAGAGCTGCATGCTAAGGTGTTTTTTTAGTGAAAGGGGGTAAAAGTCTGCTTTAAAATGGCACTTTATAGTCTGGATCAGGAGCGCATGACAACACAAATGCACATTTGGGAGACCGGGACAGTGCGTTGTCACACTATACCATTATACGTGCCTAAACAAGGACCTTCATGGTGGGATCATTTGCTATTATTTGATTGAAAGCTGCTGATTTAAGCATAATTAAAATTACTTTAATGTGTTTATGCTTCGAGGAAATTGTATTGATTCGGTTTACATATACTTTAACTGTTGTCTTCCACCTATGTGTTCCTAACTAGCTAGCAAACCTCAATGGGCATCTCGCCTTTGGCGTTTAGCTCAGAGTCAACAACCTTTGCACATATTTAAAGACGTCCTGGCTAAACAGTTTGTCTACAAATGTATAGTTCTATACAGTATATTCGTCCATTATTTGTTCCTTTGGTTTCCATCTGCAGATGTCCGCTGTAAAGAAGAATGGAGTTAGGAAAGGGTAAACTTCTGAGAAGTGGCCTCAACGCATTGTACCAAGCCATCCACCCAGCGCATGGCTTAGCATGGACTGATGGCAAGCAAGTCATTCTAACAGCCTTACACCTACAAAATGAGGACCCAAAGTTTGGCAGCTCTGTTGTCATTGGCCAGTTTGAGCATGTGCACGGCCTGTACTGGGGTCCAGCTCACGGCAATGACGTTCCAGCTCTGTTGGCCGTCCAGCACAAGAAACATGTAACAGTTTGGCAGCTGTATTATAACAACACGGAAAAGAACAAGCTGGTGGTGTCCCAGACCTGTGAAGTTGGGGATCCCCTTCCTGTGCTTCCACAAGGCTGCGTGTGGCATCCAAGTAAAGATATTTTGGTTATATTAACCAAGCGAGATGTCTCTGTCTTATATTCTGTGCGCAGTGACAATACCAGTGTTAAAGCTGACCTCAAGAGCACCGGCGTTGTGCACTGTGCATGCTGGACTAAAGATGGAAGCCGTTTAGTTGTCGCCGTTAGCAGCGCCCTTCATTCCTACATATGGGACAGCAAACACAAATTGCTCAACCCTTGTAGTTTTTGCCCCATCTTTGATGTTGGTGGCTACATTTGTGCCATCGAATCCACTGTTGATTCCCAGGTCGCAGTGGCCACAGAGCTTCCTCTAGATAGGCTATGTGCTTTAAATGCCGGAATTGCATTTGATGTACCAGCTGCTGCAGAAATTTCTTTTTCGGCTCAGCCTGGCCTTCTCCTCATGGATGAAGAGTTTTCTCTGGATGTGGGACGAAAGTCAACGGACTCTGGGACCTCTCTGTCCTTGGATTCCCCGGCCACTTCTCCAGGAACTGTTGATCTAACTCATATCTTGGTCAACCATTCGAAATCTGAACTGAGTCCGCTTCTTAACTTCAAGCACAAAGATTACATCACAGGCAGTGGACAGGACTCCTCTCACCTTATCCTTGTGAACTTTGAGAAGAAAGTGACTTCCACGAGGAAAGTAAGCATCCCAGGAATTCTTGTTCCAGACATCTTGGCCTTTGATCCCGGGGCTCATATCGTAGCTGTTGCCTCCAACACTTGTAGCCATGTCCTTGTGTATTCATTAACTTCAACAAACATGCCTAACATACAGCAGATCCAGTTGGAGAAGAGCGAGAGGCCAAAAGGCTTATATTTCCTGACAGATAAAATGTTGCTGGTGTTAGTCGGAAGGCAAAAAACCTGTGACCCGGCTTTTCTGCCCTCCTCCAGTTCCGACAAGTACATCATCCGTTTAATGGTGAAGGAGGTAATGTTTGATGAAGACTCCTCCACATCCGCAGATATAGCAAGTGCACATTCTAGCTTCAACTCTTCTGTACTCTTACATGGAAGGAAGAAGTACGCGGATACCCTATATAAGGAAGAGCAGCCCCTTGGTTGCCGAGAGCTGCTGATTCCAGGAGGTAGTAGTGGGCGCCAAGGCCTTAGTAGGAAACAACTGATAGAGGAGATTCGCTGTTATAACTATGACCAAAGTCCAACGTCAAGCGCTAGCGACTTTGAGGATAAGAAGAACTCTTTGACCGTACACAACCTGGACACCGAGCCGAAAAACCGGTCTGTGACCCTGGGCTTGGGAGTGCACAGGAAGCCATCCAGCAGGCCAACCTCACCGAAAGCAGAGCACCGGGCAAGCCATCACCCACCTAACGCCACCCCACTGCCGGACCAAGACATTCTGTACATGTCCCGTAATCTGGAGCGCTTGTGCAGCAATGTTTCAAATCTACAGCAGCGCCTCTCGGACCTTACAGAGTTTGCGCAGAATGGGAAAAAATCCTATTTTTCATATCCATCGTCTAAAGACGCTCCATTTGTCACCATACTATGCCAGGTAATTCTATTATGTGATCTCCACTCCAGTCTGTGAAAAAGATTGCTTGGATGTGTGGGTGACTTTTATCCAAAGAATGGATTACTTGGATGAGGTGTAAAATTCTAGGAACAGAATTGAAGGGTCCAATGAGGAACAGCCTTAATGCTGAATGGTGTAAAGCTTTTTACAGGCTCAAAATTGCAAATGAAAGAGAATAGAATATCAGATGTTTGCTTTAGTCTGACATGACTGTCACAGTGGTGGTTCTGTCACAGAGGCACTCGTGTGGTTGTGAGTGTTGTAGGCTTGATTTGACTCAAACTAAAGTCCCAATAATACAGTGAATCTTGTACTCACCCAAATGTGCCGATACTTACCTCCGATACCGGAACTTCCGATCAGAGGGAGATCTCCCTCTAACTGGCAGTGCTGAGGGAGCATGGAGCCGGTGTTCTATCGAAAGCTCCGACTTGTCGACCTCTCCAACTGGTGACGTCGCATCTGGTGACTGCCAGTAGGAGATGTACAGCAGATGGAGCTAGTGCACATGGGCAGAAAATCCTTGTTAAACTATTGCCACTGCGCCTGCGCTGGTAGCGGCTCATCGGATTCTTTAACCTAGTACAAACTTATATTTGCCCAAGGTGATAGAAGCCGATAGCCTCGCAGGTGCAGTGGCAACTGTGGTTGTAGAAAGAATCATGTGGCCGCGCAGGCGCTGTAACATAATATAACCTTTGACTAGGTTATAGAATCCGATGAGGCAATAGCCACTGCGCCTGCACGGCAATCGGCTTCTATAACCTAGGACACATATAACTGTAGTAGGATATAGAAGTGAATAGCCACGCAGGTACTGTGGCAATAGACAGTTGACAAGGATTTCCTAGGCACGCGCACTAGCACCATCTGCTGTGCATCTCCTACTGGCAGTCACCAGATGTGTCGTCAGCAGTTGGAGAGGCCGACGAGTTGGAACTTTTGATAGAACACTGGCTTCCTATCCAATCAGGAGCCAGGTGGTGGGTTATGACTCGCTTCCCATCTTCCTGATTGGTTAGGAAGCCAGGCCCTCTAGCAACAAGTGGAGCTGGCTTTCTAGCCAATCAGGAAGCTGGGCAGCACGTCATGACCTGCCGTCCGGCTTCCTGATTGGTCAGGAAGCCAAGCAGTCTTGGCAAGTGAAGCCTGTGTTCTTTTGATAGAACACCGGCTTTCCAGGCAATCGGGTAGCCGGGCAACGGGTCATGAATCGACTTCCTGATAATCGGAGCACACAGCACCGGTATTGGTACTTGGCATCGGTGAGTACCGAAAAAAAAGATATCGGTGCTCTATACAGAAAAACCGGTATCGGTGCATCCCTAATGGAGGGAGACAGTACAGTTACAATACAAATTAGTACAGGGGGGTTAGGAGAGCCCTGCTGGTGAGAGATTAACCCTTTTGCTTGCAGGCACTTCTCTCCCACTTTGCCTCTCATGGCCAAACTTGTTCTGCTGTTTTTCACATTCTTATTACAGAATTGCTAAAGATTTCCCCAAGATATATATATATATATATAATATATGTATGTGACTCGCTTGACTTCGATGCAGAGTGTTGGGCATATTTGAAAGGACGGAGCAATTGGGCGCTTAATACTGGGGCTCCATACTTTTCATACATCTGCTCCAATCGTACAGTAGGGCACTGTGACCACAGAACAGTTTTTGCAACAGAACTGACCTACGTGGGCGTTTCTGTTTATAATATACACAAAGCTCACTAAAACAGAGGTGCTTGTAGGGATTCTCAATCCATAAGGCTCTGTTCACACTGAGGTATTTTGTTGCTCAAAGGTAAGAGCAACAAAATGCTCAAGACAAGGAATCCCATTCATTTCTATGGCCCCTGTTTACCCCTGAGTGTTTTGTCGCACAAAGTTTCCCCTCCTAAATACTAAATGCAATCTCCCAAGCCAGGTAAAAGAGCGTTTGGGCAGGGAGGCGATTACATTATTGGAGAGATTTGTATATCGTCTCCCTTCATAATCTTTGCAAAATCTATGGCCAGCCGTTTGATTGCTGGGCCAGGCACATGTCTTTGAACGACATCTTATGCCTATAGCCATCAATGTTCATAGCATTTTATACATAAATGTTATAATCACCCATGCATACATATCTCTGACCTCATCAGAGCCTGACTTCCTAGGAAAACTAGAAACTTATATGGCCAACTTTCACCCAGGGAGCACATAGCCAAGGATGTCTTGTATTGTATTAAAAAAACCCATCAAGGTCACTATTGTGACTGAGCCAATGAAATCATCTGGACTAGGTGGTGATATGTTTTGTCTCTGCGTAATTTTATATTCGTTACCTGACATGGGAGGTGCAGACGTGGTTCAAAGGAGGTTACAGCTGATTCCGAAGGAGATGCTGCAAGATTAAAACCTAACAAGATTAGCTGAGGCTGCTGTGTTATTACTGTTGTATGTTCACTGAAAACACAGATCGTCTCTTGAGCTATGACAACATGTTTAGGACTCAAGGGCCCGTCATGAATTTTACCAAAACAATACCCTGCAGTACAAAACCTATTTCACGTCTGGGATGTGTAACAATGAACCTGAAACGGATAGGGGTTACCAAACAACCAGCAGGGTCAGATAACCGACAGCTTATGCTGTCAGTACCTACCACTTACCTTCATTTGTCCCTTCAGCATTGCCTGCAGCACCTGGGAAGTGACTGTGCAATCAGCAGTTCTCTGATGGTACATGCCTCCCAACCATGTGACAAATCCCAGGCCTGCTGGGTAGGTTACGTTGCATTGTGGTTGGAGAAAGGGGGCTTGATCTCTTCCAAAAAAAAGTAGAGAAATGGTATACATTGTGCCGAATGGAAGTGGAGAGGCAAATGTGAACGTAAGTTAGATGTCCTAACAGCTTATACAATGGCTGGAAACCTGATAAGGGTCCCTTGTTGACTGGCATATTCTGCTTGTAAGGTCCCCAACTCGGGCCAGCATGCCAGATAGGAGCCCAGCATCCCCTATTCTCTTCATCACGTGACTTGTGACCAACTTCCTGTAAGATGGTCATGAAGATGGGTCCAACCCTGTCATGAATAGACAGGAAGACTCTACTGAGCTGCTTCCTGTTCATTTATAAAGTGAGCAGCTAGTAAATATTATGTCCACACTCTTGAATGAACAGAAAGTGATGTATAGCACTTCCTGTTCATTCATAACTGGGAATCCCCACTGCCTCTGCCGACAGGCAGGGTAGAGCAGCAGGGAACGGAGGGGACGCATACCAAAGTTTGCAGCCGGTGCCCAGCGGGGAGGAGAGAAGCTAGAGGTGTACAGAATTTTTTTTGTGTACTATAGGATACTATGGGCAAAATGCCCATAGTACCCGAAATGTTTTGGTGGCCGAAATTTCGGTGCATCCCTAGTTAGAAATGTAATATATGCAGTTAAGGTGGGGTGTTAGTATTTTATTGTGCTGTGACAATCTAAAACAATACAGACTAATGATTTCAGGACAGTGGTGGAGCGCCAGAGCCAGGTCCCAGCTGCAACCGCTGCAATACCGGTAGTTCTCATGAAAATGCCAAGTATCGGCACTAGTAATCGAAAAGTATCCGTGCATCTCTAGTTAGAACCATGTGTATGCTGTTACAAAGGGAAGCTAGGCAATGAGGTCATGAGATTCCACACACATGCATAGATGTGCTGCAGGTATTCGGGATCAGTCAGAGAGCTGTGACACATCTACACATGTGTGAGATTCCCACACATGCACACCAGTACCATGGATCTCTGCAAGATCCCAGAAACCGGTGGCATGAGTGTACAGATGTGCCGCAGGTCTCTGGTAGGTTGCATGGGATGTTTAAATCTGGCAGCATGGGAGAGACAGCGGGAAGCAAATTTTGCCGGGGTGAAGTTCCTCCTTATGGTCTGCTTTAATAAGTGTGCAAAGGGCAGTGACATTACGCCGACTGTAGGGACTCCTGGCAAACAATCCTGTTACCTAGAATAAATTGAAATGTGGTCGGAAGGTATTGATTACTGCACTGTCAGCATTTTCTTTGGTTAGTTGCATAGTTGGGCTGAAAAGGACACATATCCACTGAGTAAAGCCTCAACTACAACAGGTTCAGCAACTTCTAGGCTTGAAACAACTAAAGAGACCCACATTTTTTATACTGGTGCCCGTCTCACACTATTTCATTGTTTGCAGAAGAAGAAAGAACCTTTCTAATGCAAAATAACTCATGTGGAGGCTCGTATAACTCCTATGGGTCTAGTAGATTAGATGTACCTTACAGGTAATATTGTGTTTTCTGCATCCCTGTCTTACAATATAGATGGGAAATCTGTATCAGGATGCTGACCCGACGTCAGCATCCTGATACAGATTTCCCATCTATATTGTAAGACAGGGATGCAGAAAACACAAGTTCACTGACGCGTTTTAGATTGTAAACCAATCTGTAGTCATAGCAACTGCGAGTTAACTTGGCGCCTAGCATTAGTTCCAGCATTATGAGGACTGGTGCATAGAAATGTGATGCTATAGATCCTAAGTGTCATTCTCTGTTCTGCTTTGGGAACAATGACAGCTGTGATTTGTTTAGTTCTAGTTATACATCAGCATTGTAGGTGCATGTGAAGCCTTCCGTTGTAGTGAGCGCACATAAGCAGAACATATCCAATTATCACCTTAGCCTGGAAATTGTCAAAGACGATTGTCACACAAGACCCTAACTAGACATTACAGGTCATGTGACCGTGGCACCAGGAGCTGCAGGAAACATGTGAGCGCCAGTCACCCGTCCCTGACTGATTCTCTCATATTATCTGCCCTCCTATAGCAGGGATTGTTTATGGGGGTCCATACTGGACTGGATCTCTGAATGACTAAAAAGTTGTTGGATTAGAAGCGGCTTAAACAAGAACTCTGGTCAAAATGTTTATTCGCCGTTCCAGTGGGGCTACCCCTGCACTGCAAGGGTTAAGTGCTCAATTTGGTCTAGGGAGGAAAATAACAATATTCTACTCATCCAATCTTCATAGCTGGCTGCTGTGACAGCGCTTCTCCTGCCTTTCTCCTCCACTGAGACGTGAGGTAATGTGTTGTTGAAATGCATGATAATGATGTCATTAAAACGTACATTTGTTTGTTTCACTCGTCTCATGACTACAGAAGTACCACACGGACTGCCCGCCGGTGAAGAAGTGTGTCCTGTTGTGTGACAACAAACTGCGTCTGCATGTCATCCAGGAGCTCTTCTGCCTCCCGCTTATAGAGATGCAGATGGGTACGTTTTCTAACCTTGCTTTACCAGTGTGTGTTTGCTCATATTTGTGTCTTTTCAGGATCACAAGACCATTCCATCTCTATAGCTAAAGGGACATTGGCAATTATTATTCTGCACGTAGAACAGTGTGCACATTTCAAATGTTTTGTATACATTCTATTCTATACAATGAATTCTACACATTCCTGGTATCAGCCATCTTATGCCCATGTGAAGCAATGGGTGACACCCTGTTACAATTTACTGTAGTAAGGTCCCACTCTCTGGCTTTGCCATCATGGCTACTTCAGAGGAAGAAACGATATATAAAAGCCAACCATGGACCAACGAGGGCTGTACAACTTGTATTTTGTCTGTTGCCAACTTAAAGTTTCACTAAACTCAGGCGTTTAATCTTAAAAATTACTCTAGGGTACTTGAATGCATAAGTAGGTCATTCCGCTTACCAGACTCTACCCGTAACACACATACCACGTCTTGGTGGACTGCCCCTTGACGGTTAGGCCCCATTCACACACGAATCGGCCTGCAGACAGCTCAGTGCGGGGCCGTACCAAGCAGCTGCCGTGAAGGACAGGTGCTGCGTGTGATTAGTACGCAGCCCCCGTTTTTCTCTATGGGGCTACGCAGTCGTACGCTCACCTCAATTACAGGTCCGTAGGGGTGCGGGTTTTCTCCGGGGCGCATACAGGATCCATTCCGGCGGCGTATGAATATGCTCACCCGCACCCCTACTGACCTGCAATTGAGGTGAGTGTACGGCCGCGTAGTCCCATAGAGAAGGACAGGGGCTGAGTTCTAATCACACACAGCACCTGTCCTTCCCGGGAGCTGCTTGGTACGGCCCTGCACCCAGCATGTAGCTGTACGTGTATGCCGATTCGTGTGAATGGGGCCCATGACTTTGCACATAGACTTCCAGATTTAAGATGCAAGTTTTTGCTACCCTGTTGTACAAAAGGTTGGATGATGTGCACGCAGATGGCTGAGATAGATTCAAAAAGAACCGCCAGTTTATAGATTAGGAAACTGGCTGTAATGGAGACCAACTCCGATCTGGAGAGATGGCTATTGGCTATAGAATCTGCCTGCTGTCAATCAGTAACAGTGCGGACCTGATGGCGGACTAGTACTTCAGCGTCCCCATCAGGCTCTGCGCACTGTCAGCATCCCTGGTTGTTGAGGAAGCTGTTGGCTGTAGCGGATGCACGAGAGTAATGTAGGCACTATGAATTCCCCTTTTCTATCAAAGTTTCTGACTGCGCTAGAATGTGTTGCCCCATGTGCTCCAAGATGGAGACTCTCATAGTTTAGAGTTAGGACCGCACTATATAGAGGTGCCTTGGCGCGGCGGTGCGGCTTTCACATTTTCTGCAGAAGACGTGTATCTAAACCTCTGTTTTTAACCTTAGTGGTGAGACAAGTTTTTTTGCATGCTGGCTGGTGAGTGCCTGGAAACTTTTTGCTGTTTTAGAATGTGTGACCGGTGACGTGGTCACACATTTTAACGTAATCACGCCCTGTTCAGTTTGTGGGCGGTGGAATGTGTGACCGGTCACGTGGTCACACATCTTAACGTGATCCCGCCCAGTTTTTCGGCGGTGGAATATGTGACCAGCAAAAGGTGAAGAATTCCAACGCTTTCTCAGCTGTTCCAGGGCAGATCGGCATCGCAGATCGCATGTGCAGGAAAACTGATCTGCCCTGGAACAGCTGATCGGTCCTGAAATGTCACTTCTATCCGACTTTGTGAGTGCGATCTAACATTCCACAAAGTCGGATAGAAGTGACATTTCAGGATCGATCAGCTGTTCCAGGGCAGATCGGTTCTCCTGCACATACAACCTGCGATGCCGATCTGCCCTGAGCTGAGAAAGCGTTGGAATTCTTCACCTTTTGCCTGTCACATTTTCCACCCCCGAAAAAGTGGGCGTGATTACGTAAAAATGTGTGACAGGTCACACATTCCAACTCAGTCACAATCTTTGATAGAACACCCCCATTGACTCTTTGAATGTCTTATATCGTAGTAGACTGTTTTATTTTAACAAATCTCCTATTGTATGTTCTCAGGTTCTTCTTGTTGGATCACACTGACTGCGGACAGCGAAGGTTTCATCCCACTAACATTTTTAGCCAATCAGGAGCTGTACATCAGAGATGCCCGGAGCATCCCACTGTCTCTGAATGCAGACGGTAGCAACCATGCAGAGCCCCCAAGCAGCATCACTTAACCTGTGCTGTCTCCTTCCAGATTGACTGCTCAGGACTTGTGGGCACCTAGCTCTACAGGAATCTATCAATGTCCAATGGACTGCTCTGCTACAGAGCCCACACCTTCCTTAACTCCGGTGCTGCTGGCATGTTTCTTCCAGGGTTTAGTGCAATACACGTTCTGAATCAAATGGGCTTTCAGCCTACAAACCTTTCCAGTGATAGACATTTCGGTATGTGGAGGTTTCCGGTGAGCAAAGAACGGCTGAATTGGCTCATTAGTATAGAAAACTCTGTGTTTTGTGAAGTGGTGATTCATTGTACAGTATTTCAATATGGAACTTCTGGTGGACATGCATGAAGAATGTATTGCATGTTATCGCACTGATTTATATTTTTCTGCTGAGTACCTGCCATGTGAAAGCCGAGTCATAAACATCCCTGTTGTGTTGAGGCTGAGGAAGTGGCCATCCTATTGGCATAAAGTGCACCTGTCATTTAATAGTAAACCTAATGCTGTAGTGGAGAAGGGCACTACATACCGCACGTGGTTCTTCCAATGGTTTTAGTGTATTGACATAACATGACTTCTAAATTAAGTTATCTTAAATAAAACAAAACAACAAACTAGCCATGCCTCCAAAAACCACCCTCCAACCACCAAAAAAAGTTGTTGCCAGTGTAATGGTAACAGCACAGCATAGTTCCACCCTGATTAGCACCACAATCAGTTAAAGTGACACGAAACTCAGGAGTTAAATCTTAAGAATACTTTCTAGTACCTTAACTATTAATAAAAATGTATCTTATTTGTGTATCACTCGATCAAATCATCTCTGAATTGGTACTGACACCATCCTTCCTTCTGGAGGGGGGCTACTTTTGTTCCCCATGGTCCCTGTGTGTGTTTGTAAAGTAGTCGCCGCTCCAAGCTCACTCCTGTGATGGACTACAATCTCAATACAAACTAGTAAATTAAACATGAGATTGTAGTCTATCCCGGGAGTGATCTTGGAGTGGTGGCTACTTTACAACACACACAGGGACCATGGGGAACAAATGTAGCCCCCCTCCTGAAGGAAGGACAGTGTCAGCACCAATTCAGGGATGATTGGAGGATCTACAGCCGAGTGATACACAAATAGGTTACATTGTTGTTAATGTACTTGTATGCAAGTGAATGAAGGAGTAGATGTACAGCAGGACTGGGGAACCTTTTTTCTGCCAAGGACCATTTGGATATTTATAACATCATTTGTGGGCCATACAAAATTATCAACTTTTGCTTCTCACTGGTGAGGAGTGTGATGTTAGCTGGCTTTGATGATGATGATGCTACTTGCAACTGCTTTTCCAGGAAGTGATCTGTAATACACATCACTTCCTCCATTCGGGGACTGAGAGGTGATCAAAGGGAGATTGTGTACTGATCCCCCTTTGATCTGTCACAGAGCAGCCGTGCCAGTCCCAGGCGCATCGTGCACAGCGGAGCTCGGGACCGGCAGTGACAGCTGCTCCTATAAAAGCTATCGGGCGTCTCTATAGACGACTGATGGCTTGAATGTAAAGCTCCCGGCCGGCCGGGAAGCTACTAGTCGGGCTCCACCGTACTTTCGTCACAGACGAGAAGACGAGTGGTTTTTTTTCAAGCCCTGGTGATAGGATAGTAGCCAGACACTTAGCAGTATCAACTCTGTCACATATAACATTGCCAACAATCATACCTAGAAAGGCAATTTAGGAAGTCTGTACAGGCATGGTGTAGCTTCCCCAGGATAGCAATGGCGGTGCAATGTCCAATCAATGGCTTCTCTGTTTTCTACCCGTTTAACTTGTGGTGAACTTGTTGATAGGTCTTTCCTTCCGTGTTGGGTTAGCAGAGCTCATCCTGTAACAACAACCATTGTTTCTTATATCTCAGCAGGTAGTTTTGTGGCCAAACTCTGTTTTCATGTTATCAGTTTTCCCTCTCCCTCATATCAGTGGTGGGTGAAGTGAGTCTGTCTCACCCGATCATTTAGCAGTTGTTTCTTCTCCTTTTGTAAAATTGTGTGACAATATGACCTTTATTGTGCTGACTGCTCGGGGTAACTCCATGATGTCAACATCTGAGGTTGAAGCATAGGTGGTTCCTGTAATCTGCACTTTTTTTGCCTTTTTCTCATAATACCTCACTAGTTTCAGGGTACACCCCTAAATGATGGCCGGTATGTCATGTCCAGGTCATGATATAGCTAGTAGTAGTTTAGTCACATTTAGCTGGACTTGTGCTGTAACGTTGAAGGTGTTTTTGTAGGTTTACAAGCCACATCAAGTCACGTGTTAACCCCAGCCTTTGCAGAACTGCTCCACAACAGGTGAACATTAGCAAGAATTTTAGTAGAGTCGTCCCTTGGCAGCCTTCCACAGCAAAGGAACTAGAAGTCCTGACCAGAAGGTTGCCTCATATTCCACAGTTATCAAGAAGCCCTTGTCCTTTGTGTCCAGCTACTTTGCAATGCAAATTCGTGGGATGTTTTTAAGCCAATAGGGGTCTTTATATTTTGGATCTTCAAGATAGCTGATTGGATATATTAAGCAAGCAGGATAGAAGACCGAGGGTGACATTGGTGAATGTACACTGATCAGCCATAACATTATGACCATTGGGAAGGCCAGCCAGTGAAGGCTGTGTGATGCTTTGGGAAACGTGTGGATGTTACTTTGACACGTACCACCTCCCTAAACATTGTTTCTGACCAAGTACACCCCTTCATGGAACCCTGAAGGGGTGTAAAAAACTTTGTCATATGAAGACGAATCTGAACAGCCCGATCCTTTTTTATACAGTCAGACCTTGCACTAAGTTGGTGGTAGGTCTAAAGGAGGTTGTACAATCAGAGTGTATGGTCAGTCTAAGGTCGGGGCCTGCCTAATGACTTCAGTGCAAGTGTGAATGTGACCCAGGACCTTATTGCTGAGAATCACAAGCTGGCCATACACTATATACATACATATATTGATTGCACAATCTGCATAAGATCTAACAAAACTATGTAATGTGAGGCCAAACCTAAACAACTCTTTCAATCTGTAATAAATCAAGTGTCCAGTGCATACCTGTTGATAGATATAATGAGATTTAAGTGTGTGTGGTCAGATTTATTGTTTTGGCTCATTAATGGCAGATGTGACTGAAAGAACATGCAGTATATACACTGAGTGGCCAGTTTATTATGACCACCTGACATTTGTAGGCAAATTAGCTATAATTTCACGCTGAAGTTACTAGAGGGCCAGACCATTATAAATAGGGAAGCAGGTTGTTTACCACGACAGTTGAAGTGATTTGTTTCTGAAGATACGGGGTAAACAGCGCGATTTAACAGCCTTTGAACGTGGGATGATTGTTGGCGCTCGGAGCCATGGAGCGAGTATCAGCAAAACAGCAGAATTCGTTAAATGTTCAAGATCAGCTGTTGTTAAAGTGTTTAAAGACTGGACTGTCAGCCGAAAATCTGGGTGTGAACGTGCGAATTGTGGCCGTCAGCGACTAGTCAATGTTAGGGCAGAACGGGGGAGGGGCAAGACTGGTACAAGACAACAGAAGGGCAACAGTGCCGTGTCAGATTCCTTGCATCACCTTTCAACATCTCGTGGAGTCACGAGGCGGCCCAACGAAGTCATCTCGTGGAGTCATCTCGTGGCCCAACGAAGTACTGATGGGGTGGTCATAATAATCTGGCCACTCAGTGTATCCGTGTGCTTTAACAGGTCTTGTCAGATGTATTTTGAAGGTTTCCATTCAATCGATTTAAATGAGATTGAGCATTTGATCTGACACATCACTGGCCACCACTGAAAGGATTTCTGAATTGCCATGCAGCTTGGCGGCATTCCAAAACACAGGATGGGATCGTGCGCCAACAGGGTTGTCACATTGGTGATCACTATCACCAATGGCAACTCGCCAGCAACAGCTGATGAAGAGACCCCTCAGCTGCTTCTATGGTACCTCTGGCCAAAACAATGTAGACTCTCAATCTCTGGGGAGGGGAGTGGTGACACCGTGCTGGTTAGAGCTGCAACGGAGGCCACCATAGAAGCAGGTGGGAACTCTCTTAGTAATCCTGTCCTTCCCTGTTCAGTTCCCGCTAGTGTCACGCCTTCTACCTAATATTTAGGACCATAAAAGTCAAGGTCAATGTATCTAGAATTCTTGTGTAGGCCAAGTTGGAAGCAGTTCCTGATATAGTCCAATTTTCAATTCCAAACTTTACGTGGCTTGTCCTGTATTACGTCCAAACGAAGCGGCTGCATATAAACCCGATTCTCTACCCTGTGCAATGAGATCTGAAAGCAGTATGGGCTTTCCACAGTTGTAGGGAAAGGGATGGTCAGGTTCTCCAATGTAAATGAAGAGTTGGCCTCTTGTCTGGTCTCCTAATGCAGACATGAAACCATCGGACCTGTGTATCTTCCTCAGCAAGTGGATGGACAAGCCTACCACCGGAGCCTTCCTCTAGAATTTTTTTAAATTGCGCTGGATACATGACCGCTTGCAATTTGATTGCCATCAACAACACGAATACCTACATTTTGGGAAACGTCTCGATATCTGAGCACCAGTGTGCGACCCTTGATTGCTAATGCTGCTATTATTGCTATGTGAAAATGTATTGACAGAGGGAATGCAGTTGAATGTGTACTGGTCATGTGATGATCTTACGGACTGTTTACATTTCTCGTCTCGGGGCCAATTATCACTCCAGGCAATGGCCCTGTATTATTACACAATGTCACGATTGTATTATTACACAACGTCACAATTGTGTTATTACAGAACGTCACGATTGTGTTATTACAGAACGTCACGCTTGTGTTATTACAGAACGTCACGATTGTAGCTACTGACTATAAGATTGTTAAATAAAGATGACTCAGATATAATGTAAATAAACGCAGCCTAGAAATGTGCGCTCCATTTTATCTTCAGGGACCATTATTACATTTCACCCTCCTCCACGCTGCATGTTTTGGTATTCTTGCCTTTTTCAGATGTCTTTAGGTCCATCACGTAATGTGCAAAGATTTCTCTTCTATAGCTATTGGACAGGAAGTGATGGGAAGTCTCTATAAAGGGGACGCGGGCTACAAGGAAACACTTCTTTTTCAGTAAATTAGGGAAGGGTTAAAGAAGGGGAAGGCAACCTTCTATAAACATTGTGCTGGAAGGTGTCCCTCTTTCTCATCTCAGAAAGTTGGGAGGTATGTTTGTAGTTTTATGACAGTTGGCGTGCTAATGTGACCTACCCCTCGGTTGGACAATCTTTAAGGTCATTAATGTATCTTCCTGTTCCAGAGACTACCCTCTAATTTCTTGCCCCACTGCCATAAGCTGTCACATAGACAGGAAGTGAGATGAATTCTCCCCCACAGACGCCAAAAACTTGACTGAAGTATTTACTCTTTTAAGGGAATCAAATGGTAAAAAAAAAGAAGTTGTGACTTGAGTTGGGCTTTGAAAAAATTGGCGCAAAATTTGTAGTAGGTGACTTTTCAAAGTCAGGGAAAACCACTGGATACACCTGATATACGTAGATGACATAATAGCAGTGGACTAATGTCCAAGTACGTCTGCCTTTTCAAATTCTTCATGACTTTGGCCACCAGTTGCAGAGACCCTCTAAAGCTGGCCGTACACTGTTAGAACTTTGTTTGAAATCGTTGGTCAGAGGCTCAGAGCCTTCGATCTTGTCATCGTTGAGTCAATACAATTTGTTGAAAAGCTGTTTAAAACTTTGTCCACACCAACTACTTGAGTGGAATCCCAAATACATTAAACAGGTTTTTTGTGTGTCTAGCACAGCATTTCTCAACTATGGTGCTGAGGTACCCTGGTGTGCCTCCTTGCTTCCTCAGGGGTGCCTTAAATTTTGTGGTAGTGGGACTGTGATGTGAAGAGGGGAATGAAGTCTGATGTGAGGGGGCTCCTAATGTAAAAGCGGGACTCTGATATGAAAAGGGGGGGCCCTGATATGTAAAAGGGGCTTTTGATGCGAAAGGAGGACTCATGATGTGAAGGGGGGCTCCTGATGTGAAGGGGGGCTCCTGATGTGAAGGCTGGCTCCTGATGTGAAGGCTGGCTCCTGATGTGAAGGCTGGCTCCTGATGTGAAGGATGGCTCCTGATGCGAAGGGCGGCTCCTGATGCGAAGGGCGGCTCCTGATGCGAAGGGCGGCTCCTGATGCGAAGGGCGGCTCCTGATGCGAAGGGCGGCTTCTGATGCGAAGGGCGGCTCCTGATGCGAAGGGCGGCTTCTGATGCGAAGGGCGGCTCTTGATGTGAGGCGGCTCTTGATGCGAAGAGGGCTCCTGATGTGAAGGATGGCTCCTGATGCGAAGGGCGGCTCCTGATGGGAAGGCGGCTCCTAATGCGAAGGGTGGCTCCTGATGCGAAGGGCGGCTCTTGATGCGAGGCGGCTCTTGATGCGAAGAGGGCTCCTGATGTGAAGGGGGGCTCCTGATGTGAAGGGGGGCTCCTGATGTGAAGGGGGGCTCCTGATGTGAAGGCTGGCTCCTGATGTGAAGGCTGGCTCCTTATGTGAAGGGGGGCTCCTGATGTGAAGGGCGGCTCTTGGTGCAAAGGAGGGCTACTGATGTGAAGGAGGGCTCCTGATGTGAAGGGGGAAATCTTGATTGGAAGGGGGCACTTCAATGTGAATGGGGAAACCCACTTTTTTTGTGTGGTCTTGCATGAAGTCCCCCTTACAATCTATGACATTTTAGACTGCGATGCCTCGACAATTTGCATAATTTTAAGGGGTGCCGTGACAAAAAAAAAAAAGCTTAAACACTGGTCCCTAGTGTGAAAGGGTTAAAAAGGTTACAGTCAATAAGATCCCAATGTTTATTATTTGTTGCTGATGCCGCAGCTTGTTTTCATCAGGAACTAATGAACGACGGACTCATCCATTCAATACTTCTTATTCTAGGGCTCAGCAATGTGAACATTGCCACGTGATCGCTATGATAACCGACCACAGCAAGAGCATCAGCTAGTGTGTGCGCTGGGAATGTGCACAGAGGTTAACACGGGAGGACATACAACTACGTCTTCCCGGAATAAATGGCAATTATATACAGGTGACGGTAGGGAAGTAATTAACAACAGCAAAAAGTTTCCCAGAACACTCACCAGCCAGCATGCAAAAAAACTTGTCTCACCGCTAAGGTTAAAATCAGAGGTTTAGATACACGTCTTCTGCAGAAAGCCGCACTGCCGCGCCAAGGCACCTCCATATAGGGAAGTAATTAAAACACATAAACCTACCCTGGTAGATGCACCTGCAGTGCATGTTTATTATATTCAGAGTCACTATTTTATAAATGGGTCTTTGATTCTTACAGCATAAATAGGATATATAAATATAGGAGTTAGCATAAGTCTATATCTGTATGACCGACGCATTTACAAAGCTAATAATGTTTCTGTTATAAAATAATTTCATACATCACTTTAAAAAAAAAAACAGCTAATCTTGAAGAGAATAACTGGCTGGCAACACAGACAGTTCTTCTTTCAGACAGCTTCATTCACTAGCACAGTGGTTACAAGGGAACCTTAAAACGGCTCATTCCAGGCAGAGTATTGGTTGGTGTGCACACTTGCTTCGGTGGATGTGACTGTTCCACGGCCCCTCAGTCTGACTTTTGTCTCTCAGCTGCTGGATGCCCAGGATCTCACTGATTGGTCGGTTACGTGTGTCTCGGCAGCTCTGCAGATGGTGGCGCCTGTACTGCAGGATTGGCGTACCGTCTTATGTACTTTAATGTAGAACAGCCAGCTCAGATGACTATGAGGGTGGATCGCCGGGTCCGTAATCTGGAGGAACAAAACATTTTGCCGTATTCTTATTAGAATTTTGTTTGGAGATGAGAGATACTTTTTCTTAGTTTTGGTGATGCCCCCTATTGGCTAAGCGAAGTTATTAAAGATGTGAATTTCGGAACCCATTAAAAGCCAAAATACAAACATGACTGAAATACAAATATCTTTATTGACACAGGTAGTGATGGCAATTATAAAGGGTTGGGTTATATAAGCCTTTCTCAACCAAGGTTCCATGGAGCCCCAGGGTTCCTCCAAAGGTTGCTTGGGGTTCCCCTGAGCAAAAGACAATTTGTGTCTCTGAGTAACCAATGACATCAATCCTTTTGCTGTCTGTAAAGGGGGACGGTCTTCCTACTGATCAACAACGTACGGGAACCCTTCTCCCACTGACCAATTATATAGGTGGGTCCTTCTATCAATAGCCATCAATTTGTGGGACCACTTCACTGACCACCAGTATACAAAAACATCTCCCCACTGACCACCAATGTACAGGGACATTTCTCTACTGACCACCAATGTACAGGGACATTTCCCCACTGACCACCAATGTACAGGGACGTTTCTCTACTGACCACCAATGTACAGGGACATTTCCCCACTGACCACCAATGTACAGGGACATTTCTCCACTGACCACCAATGTACGGGGACATTTCTCCACTGACCACCAATGTACGGGGACATTTCTCTACTGACCACCAATGTACAGGGACATTTCTCCACTGACCACCAATGTACAGGGACATTTCTCCACTGACCACCAATGTACAGGGACATTTCTCCACTGACCACCAATGTACAGGGACATTTCTCCACTGACCACCAATGTACAGGGACATTTCTCCACTGACCACCAATGTACAGGGACATTTCTCCACTGACCACCAATGTACAGGGACATTTCTCCACTGACCACCAATGTACAGGGACATTTCTCCACTGACCACCAATGTACAGGGACATTTCCTACTGACCACCAATGTACAGGGACATTTCCCTACTGACCACCAATGTACAGGGACATTTCCCCACTGACCACCAATGTACAGGGACATTTCCTACTGACCACCAATGTACGGGGACATTTCCTACTGACCACCAATGTACAGGGACAATTCCTACTGACCACCAATGTACAGGGACATTTCTCCAGTTATTTGCTCTGGATGTCAAATACACTGGGTATGCTACATTCTTCTTTTATTTATTATTATATTTACAACCTACTCATGCTGTAGATGTAATCATTGAGCGGGAGTTCCCTGAGACCTGAGAGGGGTCCTCTGTGGTACAAAGGTTGAGAAGGCTGGGCTATATAATAATCTGGGCTTGGGGGGTTATTAAGGGTTTTATATTACATGGATCCTCCTTGGAACTCCGTGTATACATATGTGGGTTTCAGAACCATTTTACAATTGAATGAAGCCTGAAGAAGGAACTGAACTGGTCGTGAAACCTTTCATCTTCAATAACTTCAGTCAGTCAATGAAAGGATTCAAAGTTTCAATCAACGGCCAACATGGTGCACATCTCCACTGCTAGATTTGGCTGCAGCATTTTGCACTATTGTATCTTATATAGAAGGATGAGCCAACTGATGCACAAATCAGTCCCATCAGGGAATTATAAATGTCCGGTCTATGAACAATCATACAATTAAGTAAGCCACCTAATTTCCTTCCCTAAAAGGTTGCTGGAAAAGCTTTTGTTTTGGGTGGTGGCAGGGAGAAGCTCACCACCTGTTAGAGAAGAACGCTGTATGTTTAGTTAGAGCCTGGATGGCAAGGATTTCTTTTCTGTTTTGCCTTTGTTTTTACCTTACAACCTTTTAAATAAAACTGACTGCAAGTCAGATCTTGAAGAACTTTGCTGCATGAGCTGCCTTTTTACCAGGGAAGGTGATCCCCATTTGAGCTATTGCCCCACAACAGTTAGATAAATTCCACCCTCGTGCTTTCTTTCCTCTGATTACCTTATGACATCAAGCGCAAGCTCTGTCTCCTTTCTTGCGTCTTCTGTGATTGGATAGAAGATCAGGATGATTAAACCGAGAATGATGAGCACAGCTGGGACTGCACCAATCAGAAGCTGAAGTGTCAGGACCACGGGGTAGGACTGCCTGCACGCCGCACTGCTGTAACCAGCAAATCTGTCACATGCAAAAACAGGAAAAGCAAGTGAATATGTAAGAGAGCTTTACTAAAATATGTGGAGCATGACGGGCAAGCCAGGCACGGGCAGCTTATGGCACCATAGCTACTAATGGGAACCAAAGGTACCCGAATTTTAACTGGCTGGGGATGCTAAGATCTACTATTTGTATAGGGGTACAACCATACTGCTGTAATCACAAAGCATGTTGGGTTTTCTAAGAGAGAAGCCAACACAAGCTTCTTGCCTGGAAGTAATCTATTCCATTGACATCAACATGACAGTCAACACCATTACGACCTGTGTCAACGGGCTTTGGGCATGTGTCAATGGCATCAGTTGGGATAGTCTCAACAGGTCACCGACACACACAGATAAATTCAATATCTCTTTGATATGTTTATTGAAGAATGTCATTAGAAGCTACTGACATGCTGTGACATTCTTCAATAAACATATCAAAGAGATATTGAATTCATCTGTGTGCGCCGGTGACCTGTTGAGTCTATTCTGAGTTTTCCACTGCGCCATCCGTGTGATCACCATGAGCACTACCATTATTGGAAGGTTGCAGACTGTAAGGAGTGTGTGTGGTTCTTGGAAACAATAATGGTATCAGTTGGACGTCAGTTCGAGAAGCTTCTGAGATCATTTAGAATTATCTGACAGTATTTGGCTTGTAGTTGACCTCCATACAATGCAAAACCTGTTTAAACCTGCCGACAGAGGCCCTCACAGCCACCTTTAGAAATCAAGGGGCCCTGTACAGCCTAAATGACAGACCCCCAACCCCACATAGCCAGGAAATACATTAAGTTGGGGTTGCATGCCATAGCTTCCATTGTTACACATACCCTGTCCCGAGCACAGCTAAGTTTGTGGCTTATTTCCCACAGACAGCTCAATGCAGATCCTGGCCATGTCACCTTGTCTAATCTATAATTATCCCATACAATGTTCACTGTGCTATCAGGATGTGTTGGAGTGATCAGAATAATTGTAGTAAGTCAATGAAGCAGCGTGTGATAGTGGGAGCCCCATTCTCATACACCCCAACATCTTCTATACTTTATCTCAGCGTGTCATTCATCCTGGCCACGCATTGTCAAAGTACTTCATTACTGGCATACCTGTGACAGTTAGATGTATTCATTTAGGGTGGCAGGACACCAAGATCAGTGTATGTGAACCACAACAACACCCCAAAAAAAAGACTCACCGTGGTCAAGTACCTGTCATTCCCCTGACTTAGCTTCACAGGACCTGCCTTAAGAAATGGCACTGAGCAATGTATAGCCCCAGCTTATGCCAGTCCACACTCAGCTGCTGGTAAGAGACAACCCCAGACACATTGTGCAGTTGATTCCTGTTGGCTCCCCCATTCCTGGCTAGCCCCTGAAAGCTAGAAATGTATTTCAAGTGACCCCCGCACACCATTTGGCACAGAGACTCGGGGAGAGAGGGAGATAAACTTCTGCACTCCTACCAACATCTTAGTAAGCAGCTGCTGCTACTACTGAGCCTGCAACTAGTGACAAGGGACTACACTGCACTGGAGGCATGCTACGACGCACTTTCTACACAGAGACATGTAGCAAAAGTCTACGCAAACCCTTACTGTATATCCAAATAGCCTGCACTGCATACATACCTTTCAATACAAACATCTGCAGGCCAATACATGAGTGGGTCATCTCTCTACAGTACTGATATTGGTGTTTCCCAGACGGGAAATACAAACATACAGGAAGCCACAGCATTACATACAATAAGTCCCAACTATTCAGGCACCCGCTGTCGGGCCCGGGTCCCCCCTGCTGACTCAATGGGTCCAGGACCCAATTCGAGAGAGCTGCCTGTACCCAGGGCCGGATTTACTCTCTCTGCTGCCCCAAGGCCAGGTTCTTCAATGCACCCCCCTACCCGCTCCATGGCGAATGGCAGACCTGCAGGCTGCATGCAAGTGATCTCGGCGACATCGCTGAGATCACTTGTACAAAACAAGCGGCGGCTTCCCCGCTGTACATTTAGCTCTGCTTGCCCAAAGCAGGGCTAAATGTGGAAAACAACTACCCGCCCAGCGCCCAGAACTGCATGTCCCGGGCATCGGGACATAAGAATTCCACACTCCTGCTGCCCCGAGGCCTTGTGGGAAATCCGGCCCTGTCTGTACTATAAGTAGCCCTGCAGACCCTTATTTTTTTGAGTATCTACATTATGAGAATCCAGATCATCTTCTATGAATTCAGCTTTAGGTAGAATTCTATCCCAACATACTGTCTTTTTCTGCCCTGACAACAAGAGATGAGGACTGCAAGGCATTATGGGACACGTGTCTGTGAACAACATCAGCCGAGCTGATAATCCATTACAAACGTTCTTTAAAAACTATTAATAACCCAGGGGTGATGTGTTGGGTGTCCCAGCTCACCTGTGTCATATATCACAAGTCTGCGTTCAATGACCTCAATGCTGTATAACAATTGGCACTTACTGCAGGCTCAGTGTGGAGATTCCCAGAGCGATCCCTGCGGACAGCTTGGTGAAGAAGACGAATGAGGAGTAGAATATGGCCTCCAGTCCCTTGGCTTGAGGATTCATTAGACGGAAATTATCCACCACGTCAGGAAGCATTGACCTCAGGAGATTTAACACAAAAGACAAAGCTTTATCACAGAGGATGAGCGCAAATGGTGATCGCAGCAAGATTAAATGTGTCGGGTTTTACTGTCTGCAGGTTTACTGTAACATGCAGATATGTATGAATTGTCACAGGACAGGTTCCCTTTACTCCACCATTATCGCAGTTCTTCCCAGTCATAGAGGACAAGCTCTCCTGGGCACGTTGGTACATTTGGAAGACTTTTACTTGAACTACACAAACCCTTCTGAGTTTAAAGAGTCAGTCCACCCAAAAGGTCACCATCTGAAAACTTGCTTACAAACATACTAGGGCTGATTTAGGCTGGAGCCCATTCACCTTCCAGCACGTCTTTGGGGTGTGGGAGGAAACTAGAGTACCCGGGGAAACCCACCCAAGCACAGGGAGAACATGTAATCATGGTAGAATTGTGAGCTCCTTTTTTTTTTGCGTTATTGCACTGCGTCGTCTTAAAGAATATGAAGAAATTCCCAAACTTGAAAATTCGTGAGCACCGGAGAAGGCCGTTAAATAGGAGAGACATTTTTATTCTGCAATAGTGTAGCATCTGAGACACAGCAGCCATAAAAACTTTACAGCGGCAGGCTACATGCTGCAAAGGGCAGCTAAAAATACCTAAGCAACAAGAACCCGCCGCGCACCCCCAAACACCCGAGCAGAAAAGTTTAAAAAAACTAGATGGACGTTAAATAGAAGGCTATAAAAAAGCCCAATAAAACACACAATCGTGGGGGGTCTGTGTGTGGTCAGTAGCTAAACAGCAACTAAAGTCGAGGCTAACAAGCAAAAAAGGGGTGGGGGTATATGTAGCCTAACACACTGCCATCTATAGTATATTAGCACAATCATGCACAGTATAGCAGCGTACAGCACACTATAGCACATTATCCCTCCCTACACTGGATTGTCAAGTCTTCCTACAAGATGCCAAAACACACTGACAAATGGCTGCTGTGTGACCAACATTTTTAATGAGGGTTCTGGCACATACAAAATGTAATAATCAAAAGAAACCCATCGCACACCTGACCGCATAATACCCTCAAGTATCGGGTGGGTGCCATGCGACCACAGATGCCTCCGCAAATCAGTATAAATATGAAGAAGTCACTCGCACTCCAGCTCATGTTCAGTCAGTATTTTATTGACCTCTGTGCTGTCACAACATGGCGACGTTTCGGAACCCGTTTAGTCCCTTCATCAGGCAAACAAAGAGTCCTTTTTGCAAATAAAGAAGACTCTTTGTTTGCCTGATGAAGGGACCAAACAGGTTCCCAAACGACGCCATGTTGTGACACCACAGAGGTCAATAAAATATTGACTGAACTTGAGCTGGAGTGTGAGTGACTTCTTCATATTTATTGGCACATACAAAAGCCCCATCATTGGGCATTCTAAACTGGCCGAGCTCAAAGGCCAGGCAGTGCGTCATAGATGGTGGTCCGGGGAATTCTCCCATAAATTCGCCCGGGACTGCGATGCTCAAAGCCGTAAGATGCAAACGCACGGGATTGCCAACCCGAACCTCATCCATACTCATGACACTGTATATGGTAAATGAAAAATCCAATAGGAAGAATGTGAGAGGTGTTCAGACCTGGAGGGGTCAGTACAGGTAGAAATAAAACGGGACGGTTCAATAAAGACTTTGTAACTCAATTCTGGCGTTATGGCCGTATCTGGAACTCTTATGTAAAAGGTTTGCACCAATGCCATCATAAATATCACATGCGGCACATTCACATAGTGGCTGCGACAAATTCATTAGAGAATACTGCCATTTCGGAGTTCAAGGGTAACTACACCCTGCCATCCTTTACAGCTAAAGAGGGTGCCATCTTAGCCTCTATTTGGAATGAAGTGGTCATGGTGCTGCACATGTGAACAGTCATTTGAGGGCAGGGTAGGGATTGCAGGAGTGAGGTGCTAACACTGTAACTTTTAGGGCACACTGTTCTTTGGCATGGCTGCCTGTAATTTCCAGTACAAGAGTGTGCACTAAAGTTGACAACGCTACCAGTGGTTTGGGAGCTGGTAGTTTAGTGTTGTCACCCTCTACCCGGACGTTAAATGCAACAAAAACCATCAGGATCAGCCTACAGACATAATTTACAACGTTGGGTTTGCAGGTTTATTAGAAAATATCATTTTGTGTTTATATACATTTTAAACATATAAATGTCACCACTGCCGTCCACAAAAGGTATAAGAAAGCCAAGTGGTCCAACCACCATAACAAGACTGTAAAGTGCATGTGACACTTACCATGGCAGGAGTAAAGAGGCAGCAATGCTAAATCCGGATGTCACAGCAACCACGTAAGCTACAATCAGATTCGGTATGGTGACAAGCATGATGCCAAATGGAATCATCCACTGCAATGGAAGAGGTGAGGAGAATATCAGACTCATTATTCTATTAGCACTTGATACCGTCCCCATCGATGCACCATGTTATAACACCAAGTTCTGATCCATGAAAGTAGAACTATGGCTTCACAAGTTAATTCGTTTTTGTCTTAGTCCCCCTGCAAAGTACCACAGATACCTGTTGGTCCAGTGAAGTCCACCTAATGCAGCTTCCTGTGGTGGGGTGACAACGATGCTGCACTGCTCTTGACTTCAGAGCAGAATTGCCACTCTCACACTTTCTGGATTGACAGCACAGCCTCTGTTGCTGAAACCTTCCCACTGTGAGCTGCAGTGTCTGGAAGGGGAAACTTGTGAGACAGAAATGAAGGAGGATTGGGCTCAGGGAGAAGGGTGGCTTTGGAAGAAGGAAAAACTATGTTCAATGGCATTTCCTGTGTCAGACTTGTTAAACTCAGGTTTCCGTCAGGAAAGTTATTTGTACCAGCAGCCCGTTAAAAGATAAAATAACAAAAACAGCTTTTGCTGCAACATACTCATTTAATAGCAAGGTTATCACTGCAGTACTTCTTTTCTGCCACTAGATGTCCTTAGACTGATGGCCAGCATCATTCAAGCCACTTCTTATAAGCCCAGGTTATCCTGAACCCAACTCCAGCCTTTGACTGGACAATGAAAGGGGAAGCAACACAGAGCTCATCTCTCTATCACTCTGCTCAATCCAGCTATCAGCATGCTCCATGTCAGCACATGAACTGATAGGCTGCTGTACTGCTTCTTCCTCTCACTCTTCATTTCTGCTATACGAAGACTTAAAGAGGCTGGTTTTAGGTCACATTCAGGTACGGACACTACATGCATTAAAAAAATAAATGTAATAATCTATTAATGATTACAGAACTGCATTAATTTGTGCCTTTTATCTCTGCCTGGAGTCCAGCTTAAATACAAACATTCAGGAGCCTTGACATACAGAATGGAGGTGATCACTGACTGCGAAGGAGCTTGGATCTGTTCCCCAATCCCAAGGGTCACATTAATTGGCTAATACATTTTGCATGTAATTCTGTATGGGAATTACATTACTAAAATCATTTTAATAAAAACCGAACTTGTATTTTACAAAGCCGGGGGCAATCTTTTGCGCTGGTAATGGGACCTGAACAAGGGAGTCATGGAGGACAGACAAGGTCGGAAGAGCGGCCACAGTCAAGAGCATCTTGAGAAATACTCTTGTAGGTGACCTTTGTGCTTCTTCTGCCATATTTCAATTGTAACGTCTGTCTTTATGGTCATTTGCTGCCACCTACTGGCAAATAATGATATGGCAGGCTACAGTCCACACTGCAGATGCCTATATAATTACAGGTTGTGCAGCAGTTTAATGTGTGTTGCTTTCTTCTCATTATTATAATACAGGATTTATATAGCGCCAACAGTTTGCGTAGCGCTTTACAATATAAGTAAGACATTGCCATTACAATACAAGTTACAATAGATGGTAAGGAGGGTCCTGCCCAAATTCAGGCCAGTGGCTTAACATAGTTGAAATACATATGTGCTGTTTCACCTGTCAAAGAATCTGCAGTTTTGGTTGGCCATTCTGATACATATACCTGAGCCATGATGCTGATTCATTGTCCAATGAGCTGGCTTGCGGCAGATAGGTAATATATGAAGATGCCCTTGCATGCCTGGGATCATTAGGCATTATATGAACTTGAGATTTATGGGTGGAAGTGCTGCACATAGCATGCCATGTGTGTGTGGTTTAATAGTGACAATGAGTTTTAAAAAGTATCAAAGTCATTGGATCTGCATGACAGCCACAAAACTAGCATTTCCAGGTTCATCAATGGCAGCCTGCAGATTTCAACTGCTGTGTGCTTATTGGGCAACCAATGCTGTGAGGATTCACATGCAATGCTAGCATTATGGGCCCGGAATAAGACATCACAAAGGTCAAAGCGGTGCCTAGGTCCCTGGTGTCTTCTGGCTACTTTGCTGATGGTCAACATGTACATTAATTCTGCGTGCATGGAGGCAAAATGAATCATATTAGTATAATAATAGTATTTAGTAGTATAATAATTGTTATTAGTATATAAATATTAAAAGAGAACTATGAGGTGAGTGATTTTCACTCAACCTCATAGTTCGAGCCGACCTGTGACAATGAGACTGTCACACGTCGGCTCAGTAGAACGGGAAGTGAGTGATCACATACCTTCGCTCGCTCACTTCTCGATCCTGTCCCTGCAGAGAGCACTCACGGCTCCTCGCAGGGATTCCCCCTCCCCGCTCCGATCCTTCAGCACTGACTGGAGGAACGAATGGGGGAGGGGCGGGTACAGCTGGCTCTGCCTCTAGATAGGCAGAGCCAGCTGTCAATCCCGCAGTTGGGTGGGTCCAGACAGTAATGTCGGGATCCGTCCTGGCTGCGGCGGTCTCAGTATATGACGAGCTGTAGCTCGCGATATAATGGGCTTTGGGTCACCTCGACAGTGCCGTCCGTCCGTTTTTCTACTACGGGCGGACGGCAACTGGTTAATTTATTTATTTTTCTCCAGGTCAAATGTAATATCAGGAAAATGCCACATTTTGGCAACTAGATGGAACCCAGGATCATAGATACGTATTTCCTATGCTACACAGCTTCATCTAGTGGCCTTAAAGTGACACTAAACTCAGGAGTTAAAAATGCATTCAGGTACCTTAAGTATTAACGATAATGTATCTTATTTGTGTATCACTCGGCTGTAGATCCTCCAATCATCTCTGAATTGGTGCTGACACTGTCCTTCCTTCTGGAGGGGGGGCTACTTTTGTTCCCCATGGTCCCTCTGTGTGTTGTAAAGTAGTCACCACTCCAAGCTCACTCCTGTGATGGACTACAATTTCATGTTTAGTTTACTAATTTTGTATAGAGTTTGTGGTCCATCCCGGGAGCGAGCTTGGAGCGGTGACTACTTTACAGCACACAGGGACCATGGGGAACAAAAGTAGCCACCCTCTGTGTTTGGTGAAGGGGCAAAATGATATTTCTATCCCGTGAATGAATCCCTCTTTTGATGCAAGTTAATATACCACTGGCTTTATTAGCCACAGCTTGGCACTGCACGCTATTACTGAGTCTGTGGTCTATAAGGACCCCGGATCCTTCTCCATCTCTGTTTTCCCCAGTGAAACCCCTCCCAAGGTGTATTCAGCATGCATGTTCTTAGCTCCCAAGTGCATGACCTTAAATGTATCTAGATTAAAGCTCATCTGCCACATCGCTGCCCACTCTCCCTAACTGTGTTGTTGGCAGACAATAGTCGTTTAGCATTTGAACCACAGAAACCACTCCAATCAATGTGCACTTACACGTCACTTCTCACTGTGCTGCCCTTATACTTTGACCATCTTGTCTTGAATTGTATTGTGATTGTAATGTCTTCCTTATATTGTAAAGCGCTGCGCAAACTGTTGGCGCTATATAAATCCTGTATAATAATAATTCTGCGGGAACTTTGAAATGTTGTAACTAAGTGTTCACACAAAAACCCTAAAATGTATAAAATGTGCACTGCATACACGAGCACTAAGTTAGGACTTGCTCGGAACTTACTGAAATTCCAAAGGCGGCCTTTTTCTTGCCAAATCGTTGCAGGAACCACTGCCAGAAGGGGATGCTCAAGACGGCGGAGATCTGCAGAGAACGAAGGGTCAGCGGAGGGAAGATTTGTATACTGAGCAGGACACGGGACACACTTCATTAGAGCTACCTTATGTCACCGGTGCTGTACTATGTACCCACAGCTACATTTCTAAATAAACTTCAGATTTCATATTTTGTTCATCTGTTTTATTTTATCTTAATGTGATTTTTTTTTAACAGTTATTTGTTTTACAGTCTTGTGTAATAATAATAATAAAAAAATTATATGTATAATATGTATAATAACATTATAATAATAATAATATATTTTTGGCTTTTTGTGTGGTAACATTACACCATTTTCTTTTGTAAAGAGTTATTCATTATTGATTAGTTATATAACATGCAATGTCTAATATACACTCAATGGCCGCTTTATTAGGTACACCTTGTTTCATGCTGTTTGTGCCAAATTCTGACCTGACCGTTTGAATGTCGTAGCAGAGATCGAGACTCGGACCAGGCAACGTTTTTTCCAATCTTCTACAGTATTGTCCAATTTTGGTAGCCTCCGTTTCCTGTTCTTAACTGACAGGAGTGGCACCCGGTGTGGTCTTCTGTGGCTGTAGCCCATCTGCTTTAAGGTTCAATGTGTTGTGTGTTCAGAGATGGTATTCTGCATCCCCCGGATGTAACGAGGTTATTGGAGTTACTGTTGCCTTTCTATCAGCTTGAACCAGTCTGGCCATTCTCCTCTGACATAAACAAGGTATTCTTGCCCAAAGAGCTACCGCTCACTGGATATTTTCTCTTTTTCAGACCAGTCTCTGTAAACCGGAGAGATGGTTGTGTATGAAAATCCCAGTAGATGAGCAGTTGCTGAGATCGTCAAACCAGCCCGTCTGGCACCAACAACCAGGGCCGGATTTGCTCTCCCTGCCGACCCAAGGCCAGGTTCCGCAAGGGCTGTGCAAATGAACGATTAATTTCTCGATTAATCGTTAATCTTTTTGATCGATTTAAAAATGTTTGAAACTTTCTGCACGAGCGCCAGCCAAGGCATTGGCCTATACATATACAGCACAGCAATGAAGTAATAACATGAAATAGGATCACATTAATCCAGCACGTTATTATTCTGTCCTTCCCAAAGCAGGAATAAATGTAGAAGGCAACTTACCGCCCGGAACTGTATGTTCAGGGCGTCGGGGGACTCCACGCCACTGCCGCCCCTCAGTGGCCTTGTGGGGAATCCAGGCCTGCCAACAACCATGCCACATTCAAAGTCCCTTAAATCACCTTTCTTCCCCATTCTGATGCTTGGTTTGAACTTCAGCAGATCGTCTGAACATGTCTACATGACTAAATGTATTGTGTTGCTGCCATGTGATTGGCTGATTAGATATTTGTGTTACTGAGTAGCCGAACAGGTGTACCTAATAAAGTGGCCAGTGAGTGTATACTCCTAAAATCCTTTATTTGCATTGTAGCCAGGGGCATAACTACAGATCATGGGGCCCCATAGCAAAAATGTGATGGAGGGGTCCCCTGTCTGAGCTGTGACTAATGACCCAAAGACACCTCTTGTGCATCTGACATCAGCTTTCCTACAGTGTAGACTTTACCGAGGGTTAGGGTTGTCATCAACTGCAACCACTCCAATGCTTAATGACACAGTACTCTGCTATCGTCACATGTTCTATGTTTAATTTGCTGAAATAACCTAATGGGGCCCCCTTCCACCCCCAGGCCCCATAGCAGTGATTGGACTGCTATGGCTCTAGTTACTCCACTGATTGTGGCCCTGATGAAGGGGAAGTTTTTGAACCTCTGAAATGTGTCAACCTTTTTTATATTCTACTGAATATCTAATAAAACACCATCTTGGACTATATGTGTGTGATACTCTCAGTACTGCTCATAGGTAGATAGTCTTGGTCCTTTGTGTGGACACTGGAAGCTCTATAAGTCACTAAAGCACCAGGAACGCGGACAGGTAAGTATTTTACTGGGGTGGTCTGTGGATGGGAAGCTGCCAGAATATTCCTTTTCTCAGGATGACATCATTCATGTATTACATAACTAATACAAGGTCTGCAAACAAAAATAAAAGCTGATTTTATATGTGTCATCCAATGAAAGGTTTATATCTACTCACAGGAGACTATGACATATGGGGCCTAAAAACAAAGAGGTCCTGATTGCAGAGGACTCTGATTTAGGCAGAATGAATAACTATATTCCAGAAACATCTGTCACTTTACTATGGATGCAATTATCAAAGTATGGTTGGAGTTGTACCTAAAATGACGCAAGGTGGTAATTGTGCAGCAGGTGGCGCCCTCTAGGGACAGAATGAAATAAGATCCTCCACCGCCACCACCTGTCTCTGTACTACCACAATATCCCCCCAGGGGCCACACAGACAGGTGTGTGATGGAGGGGAATATCGGGGAGAGCAAAGACCTGACACCTTCCATTGTTTGTGTGTCACATCCTCCTTAGGATTATACACATAATTACTTCTTAAGATGGAAACAAAACAAGCTGTCAGGGGTCATATAATGCACAGATAGATAGATAGATAGATAGATAGATAGATAGATAGATAGATAGATAGATAGATAGATAGATAGATAGATAGAGAGAGAGATGGATGAATGGATGGAGAGAGAGAGGGATGGATGTATGGAGAGAGGGATGGATGGATGGATGGAGAGATAGATAGACAGACAGACAGAGGGCTGGATGGATGGAGAGAGGGATGGATGGAGAGAGAGAGAGAGAGAGAGAGAGAGAGAGATATGGATGAATGGAGAGAGAGAGATAGTGAGAGAGAGAGGGATGAATAGATAGATAGATAGATAGATAGATAGATAGATAGATAGATAGATAGATAGATAGATAGAGGGAGGGAGGGATGGATGGATAGATAGATAGATAGATGATAGATAGATAGATAGATAGATAGATAGATAGATAGATAGATAGATAGATAGATAGATAGATAGAGACATGTGACCCTTTACTCACCAGGATGGTCAGTACCAGATTCTGGAAATGTTCTCGCAGGTTGGCTGCAGCATGTGTGCAAAAAAGGACAAAATTGCTCTGCTGAAGCTGATGAATTTAAAAACAGAACAGACATTGAGATATGGCCGATCATGATTGATGGAGGAATCTGTCAGATTTCTATCCTTCAGCCATATATCTATAAATGTATGGCTGACTCTGGACCGCCATCCGATCTGCTCACAGCTACATTTTTAAAGGAACCTGTCTGGACAGAAATATGTCCGCTGCCACGGCTTCAGGGTTGTCATGCTTATTCTTCTTTCAATACTGGGGAAGTTACTGACGAAGACCTGGGAAAAGGGCTTTTACTTACCTGATTCCCGCTCCCACTGGCTGCAAGACTGGCGCTAGCAGCCTCTTCCTCCCTATGCTACAGCAGTTGGAAGCCTGTTGACACCAACGCATGCAATGCAGGGCCCAAAACTCTGGATGCTATGACTGTCCACAAGCTGGTACATAGGAAAGATTAGGAGAGCTCCAACTGCCGGGAGAACGGGGATCAGTTAAGTTATACTGTATTACTCAATATCCTAGACCAGGGTAATAAAGTTCTCTCAGGTCACCACACATTAACATTTGGCATCTGGCTTAGTATATCTTCCCTGAACTGCATATTTCTTGTAGCTGAATTTACCTAGCAGCTACACTGTATTGCCAAAAGTATTGGCCGGCCTTTACACGCACATGAACTTTAATGGCATCCCAGCCTTAGTCCATAGGGATCAATATTGAGTTGGCTCCGCCCTTTGCAGCTATAAGAGCTTCAACTCTTCTGGGAAGGCGTCCATAAGGTTTAGGAGTGTGTCTATGGGAATGTTTGATCATTCTTCCAGAAGCGCATTTGTGAGGTCAGGTACTGATGTTGGACGAGAAGGCCGGACTCGCAGTCTCCGCTCTAATCCATCCCAAAGGTGTTCTATCAGGCTGAGGTCAGGACTCTGTGCAGGTCAGTCAAGTTCCTCCACCCCAAACTCACTCATCCATGTCTTTATGGACCTTGCTTTGTGCACTGGTGCGCAGTCATGTTGGAACAGGAAGGGGCCATCCCCAAACTGTTCCCACAAAGTTGGGAGCATGAAATTGTCCAAAATGTCTTGGTATGCTGATGTCTTAAGAGTTCCCTTCACTGGAACTAAGTGGCCAAGCCCAACCCCTGAAAAACATACCAACACCATAATACCCTCCCTACACCGAACTTTACACTTGGCACAATGCAGTCAGGCAAGTACCGTTCTCCTGGCAACTGCCAAACCCAGACACGTCCATTGGATTGCCAGACAGAGAAGCGTAATTGGTCACTCCAGAGAACACGTCTCCACTTCTCTAGAAGTGCTTTACACCACGGCATCCCACGCTTTGCATTGCACTTGGTGATGTAAGGCTTGGATGCAGCTGCTCGGCCATGGAAACCCATTCCATGGAGCGCTCTACGCAATGTTGTTGTGCCAATCTGAGGGCCACACGAAGTTTGGAGGTCTGTAGCTATTGACTCTGCAGACAGTTGGCGACTTCTGACAACTGTGCGCTTCAGCATGCGCTGACCCCGCTCTGTCATGTTACGTGGCCTACCACTTTGTGGCTGAGTTGCTGTTGTTCCCAGTTGCTTCCACTTTGTTATAATACCACTAACAGGTGACCGCGGAATATTTAGTAACAAGGAAATGTCACGGATGGACTTATTGCACAGGTGACAACCTATCACGGTACCACGCTTGTAGTCACTGAGCTCCTGAGAGCGACCCATTCTTTCACAAATGTTTGTAGAAGCGTCTGCATGCCGAGGTGCGCGATTTTATACACCTGTGGCCACGGAGATGATTGGAACACCTGAATCCAATGATTTGGAGAGGTGTCCCAATACTTTTGGCAATATAGTGTACAACCAGACAGAAGAAGAGAGGTAGATCACAGAAGGGATAGCCAGATCACATTAGATGTAAATAGAATTTTACAATGCTGGTGTCCCCATTAAACAAGAACTCTGGGCAAACAAAGAACTTACCCTTGCAGTGGGGCTACCCCCCATCCTCCCCCCATACTGCAGGGGGTTAAAGTAGTATTAAACTCTCTATTAAACGGTTTTTCAATCATGAATCCAGATCAAACAAGTATACATTGCCCAGCAAAGCATTGCTTTACGATTTTGCCCAAACACTTAGAATCATCATGTTTCTGAACAGCTGCTTCTCTTAACTCAGCTTCCCTGAACTTCTTGTCCAGTGCTAGATCACATAGGACAAAGCAGTCTCCAGCAACTGTCCATCTACTAGCTTGGAGCAGGGAGAAGAGAGGGCCGAGAGGACGGAAGTAGCTTGATTTGCTGTGTCTGTGTTTTTTTGAGACACATTCAACTTACTAGAACACACAAGGGTGACTGCATAGCACTCTGCTTGGCGAAGGAGTCACACTAAAACAGGATATCAGGACCAGAGCTCAGGGGAAGCAGCTGATTCTGCAGTAAAATAAAACTTTTAAACACCAAGGAGCAGAATCCATTGTAAGTGATTTCATCAGCATCTGAAACAGCTTAAAATCCTTTTGACTTTAATATCACTTTAAGTGCTCGTTTTGTTAAGAGGCTCAAATAAAGCCTGATTACCTGATCCATACCTGACTCCCTCCAGGCTGCTAGACCGGTCGCCACAGCCTCTTCTCCCCTGGGCTCTGGTGGTATAAGAACCACTAACATCATTATGTCTAATGCAAGTCCATTGCATTAGACTTGAGGACACCAAGGGACATTCCATAACTGAATAGGGAGGTGAGCACTGACCATTGTGGGACTGAGGATCAAGTGAGTATAGCCTCATAGACAAAACGAACACTTAAAGGAGAACTATGGGGTCAGAGTTTTTCCCCATAGTTCTCCTAAGGGTGATGGGGGGACACTGACCATTGTCCTCCCGTCACCCTTAGCTCAGTATACCGTGAGCTACAGGTGCGGTATACTGAGACGCCGCAGCCGGGACGGATCCCGACATTACTGTCAAGATCCACCCAGCTGCTTGATTGAAAGCTGGCTTTGCCTATCTAGAGGCAGAGCCAGCTGTGCCCGCCCCCTCCCAGTCAGTTCCCCCAGTCAACACTGGAGGATCGGACAAGGGAGAGGGGGAATCCCTGCAGGGAGCCGAGAGTGACAATCACGGCTCTCTGCAGGGATAGATCGAGAAGTGAGCGAGTGACGCTATGTGTTCGCTCAATTCCCCATCTATTGAGCCGACCTGTGACAGTTTCATTGTCACAGGCCGGCTAGAACTGAGGCTGAGTGATTTTCACTCGCCTCATAGTTCTCCTTTAACCCTTTTGCGTTGGAGGTAGCTCCATTGCAAGCGTAATTTTTTTCTTTACCCAGAGTTCTTCTTTAAGCTGGCCATACACCAGTAGAATTTCGTTTGAAAAAATGTGTTTCTCTCCCGTTCATTGAAGGACTGGGGTCCCTGGGGGGGGCGGTCGGTGCCTCAGGTACCGCGTTATCCATGGAATTTTTCTCATCCGCTATGGATGGTTTTGTGTCGCGCATTGAGCGCGCTCTCACGCATAGGCCCCCTAAAAAACAGGTTCTGCCCTTGCCATCCCCGGCATTGTCTGGGGAGGAGTAGGGGGAACTTCCGTCCGCGTCACCCCGGCCGGATCTGGTATCATTTATCACCATAGTGATGAGACAATTGAAGAAGCAGGATGGAAAATCTTTGATAATGTCATCAGGGACTTGATGAATTTTGTTCCAAATTCAGTTTGGTTTTCGATTTTGGAAAATAAATTGGAGTTCTTGAGTGAAAACCACATTCACTGTTACATTCCATTCATTGGAGAAACTCCATCCATTTCCCAAGTCAAGTGTTAAAACCAAACACAATGTCGAACAACATTGGTCAAGTCTCTGATGGCGTTATTGAACGGTTTAATGAGATTTCTTTTAATGAAAGTTCACATATAAACCTAGCCGTGTGTAGCCGACTTAACACTGCACCCACCGCTCCGGCTTGTTATATCTCCACCCAGACACCAGAGAACAGCCATTACCTGAACAGCAGCTGAAATAAGCAGGAAGGAGAAGATCAGGTAAAGGTACGGCCCGTGCCGCATCAACTGTCTGAAACCGCTACAGAAAGGCATAATCATGCCAGGCTGAAACGCATAGGGATCTGTAATATACAAATCACGCCATCATAACCTGGGAATTGCTGCAGATCGATAGTAAAAGACTGGATAGAATTATTTAGAATAATAAAATGAAAAAATAGTTACTTACCGTCTTTTTCTTTGACTCCCAGGAAGAGCACCGCAGTGCAGAACAAATAGACACAGCCGATGACCCCCGCTGCAATCATGTAGACGTTCCTCTAGACAAAAATGTCACAAAAAGTCAGGACGGAAACCAGGAGACGAATATAGTCTTAGGTTGGGTGTCCTCGCTGGACTACCTTGAATGATCGTGACATGGTGGGTTACAAGGTAGAGATTAGATATCAGCAGATGAGGGTAGGACTTTATTTATTTAAGGGGCAGTTTCTTCTACTGCATCTGTATTGTGTATAGTGGCAGGTTTGTCAACCAGAACCCACAGAAGTAAGACAATTTCTGCATACAGGGTCAAACAGGTTTCCCCAAATCAGGGAACAGTTAGACCCAATCGAAGGTTTATTTACTTATTACAGGTATTTATATGGCACTGACAATTTACGCAGTGCTTTACATCGTACACATTCGCATCAGTCCCTGCAAACTCCTTGCAGATAGTGTCCTGGTCCTGCTCTTCATATTGACCCTTACCCTGGTTTCCTGTCCATGTGACACCAGAACAAGCAAAGAGGGAACCAGGTGTGACAAGGACCAGATGACAAACCTGGGGGGGGTTGCATTTTTCCACAGCCCATTGGCCATCACACTACAATGAGTAGTGCCAGGACATTCCTCCCACCACTTAGCTCTACACCAAGGGCTGGGCAGTTGGTTGTCAGCTGGGAAGATCCATTCATAACCACTCACAGTGGCGTAGTGGTTAGCACTTCTGCCTTGCAGCACTGGGGGTCCCCGATTTGAATCCCAGCCAGGTCACTATCTGCAAGGAGTTTGCATGTTCTCCCTGTGCTTGCATAGGTTTCCTCTGGGTACTCTGGTATGTACAGTGCTGCATAAATTATCAGCGCTACAGTATATAAATACCTGTAATAAATAAATAAACGTGGCACACATCAGAGGGGTGTAGTTCACTTATACCCTGCAAGAGCATTGTCCTTTTATCTACCAGTTTCAAGAAATTTGAAAATATAAAAAATCTAGCTTATATTTAACTCCTTTGGAACTTTTAATTATAATTAGTAAACTTGGGCACCTGCAAAGGTTTTATTTTTATCTGTTCGTTAGAACTGTAAACCCTCAAAAGCCAGGTGGTCTCTCCAACCTACTCTAAAGGTCAGTTTGGTAAGACATGGCTGACTAATGAAAACAACTACAAAAAAAACAAATTATTCTTGACTTACAGCGTGAAGCTGGTAGTCTGGTGACCCCGGGATCAAATAGGTGATGTTCTCCATAGAGTCTGAAGCATTCACCGTGAGGTTCATGGTCCCATTAAGCACATGGCAGTGATGGGCAGTGTGAGCACTAGCAATGATCTGTCCTTGCAGAGCAGCTCCAATGAGAGTTCCAAGTACCTCCACCGTCATCCCTACAAGAAAACACATCATCCAAGGTTTTCAGAGACATAAATGGTTTGTCAACAACTATGAATAATATAATGAGGTAAAAAGTAATATTTTTGTGGCCGATATAAATAGCTCTATGAAATAATCTTTGATAAGCTGCTTGAACATTTAATTGTCCAGGCTTGGCAGCCTGAGGACCCCCATATGCTGAGAGACAAAACACCCCAACACCGTTTTATGATCTGCATTTTAAATATTGACACATAGCATGACCGGCTTAGCCAAGAACTACCTCTTGGTCCTTCTTTTTCACCCTGGTCTCAGCTTCCTTCTTTTTCATTTATTTTCTTTATTGCTTTCCTATACTTTACTTCCTCTTTTTATATTTAGGTTGTAATTCAACTTGTAGGAGATTGTGTCACTTTCCCCTGAATAGTCAGAGATTCTTGCCAGCCCACTTATACTCAGCTACCCCACACTCCCCCTGCTGCTCACTTAGGACCTTCATAAAATGATTGGTTCCTCCAGGGAAGCATATCACCCCTTTCCAAGATGCAGTGCTCAGGCCTAAGTGGCCAATCCCCAGACCACTACACTTTTCTACATGGTAGAGGATGATGTCAACAACTCTTTGAAAGCTCTGGCATCACTCAGCTCAGGGTTACATGGGGTTTGACTCCCAGACAAAGGAATGGTGTGGCAGAGGGGTGCAGGGAAGGTGGGTGTAAGTGTGTTGACTGTAAGCTTGAAAGAGACTCTGTCATTTTGCCCCAAATTTGGAAAATGTAAATTTCTTTAATTTTTAAGGATTATGAACAACTAAGTGGTGGAGTGTTAACCTTATCATGTTGGCTATGTGGTACACTCAGGATACCCACATTGCCAGATTCATGTTTGCTGTTCACATTGTGATAGCTTACTATACTTACTTTATATCCCAGTGGCCCCAGAATTAGAACACAACAAAAACAGGTGTTCAGGCATCCATGACCTCACTAGAAATGTATATTATAGACAGTCTGGAGAACAGAAATGCTTCTTAACCATGCTGCCATACAGCATACATCCTGCACAGTACAAGCCCCTTCATATACTGCAAGTGTGTACATACTATTAGATATTTGTTATTGTATTAGAATACTATGGCTCCTTATGACCTTTTTCTGTAAAACACAAACGAAACCACCAACAACCACTGCTTTCCTTAATTTTTAAGCAGGAATGTTCAAACCTGGCAGAAAGGCCTAAAACTTAGGGTTAAAGCCGTAAGTCTATCATGTTCAAACCTTTAGGGCTTCTTCCCACCTAGCCGTTACATTGCACTACAGCACACACACTTACCGTATTTTGCACGCTAACATTCAATATATAAGCAACTTCATTCTTTTAAAATGCACTTCCAATACGCAGCAGTGGAAGGAAAAGCATACCTGCTTGTTTTTTGTTTTTTAAACCCAGTACACCGCAAAATACAGCAGGTGCATTGCTGTGCTCTGCACTGGAAGTCCGTCAACACCTAGTGTAAACTTATGTGTTTGAGGTGCCACTCTAAATGAAAGACACTGCAAAGCAACACATCATAAAGTGTGCCGTGCGTTATGATAATTTGCCAGAAAATGCATGGTTTACTGTACATTACTGCAACTCAACAGCATGAAGCCAGCCTTATGGGTCGAACCAAAACTGATACCTTAGTAAGTAAAGTAATAATCCAGACTTTTATATCTCATAGAGACTCCACTGGCCAGATTTTCCTACAATAAGCCACACTTCTGCTCCCTTGCACAAGATCATAACAGGAGGCAAGCATTTGGAGGACCCCAGTTTTATTCTACACTGTGTAGAATCCATCATGATAGAACAACATCTTCCTATGGCCTTACAGTATAATGGACTTCTGGTAGTTGGGTGGAGCTGGGACTTGAAATGTGCATTCACACCAAAATTGAAAGGAAATCACACGTCAACGGAAGGTATGTTAACTTGCAATTTTACCTTCCGATTTACTTCCGATCCGTTGAGTTTTTCAACGGATGCTAATGGACTGCAAAATGAATGGGTGTGAATGGGGCTAGTTCACACCAAATCTGTTGCAGTATGTTGCGCTGAAAAAAAAAAGTATTGCTGCACGTTCTACTTTTTTTTCAGTGCACCGTAGCACAATGGAATGGGGCAGTGTGAACTAGCCCCATTCATTTTTCGGTGTTCTTCGTTTAGCATCTGTGGAAAAACAGATCACAACACGATGGAGCACAATGAAACACAACGCAACGCAACACAACGCAAAAGAACACAATGCAAAGGGACATCCGTTAAACATAACGGATCGCAATGCAGCGGATCTGGTGTGAATGGGCTGGGCCATAACAACTCTAAGAATGCCATTTCCAGTCCATTTCCATTGTATGTCTGCAAATACTCATATTCCTCTGTAGATCTACTATATGGAAAGGTCTCCTACAGAATCCTGTAAGTGAATTAGGACGTATGTTGTAAAGTGAACCTATCAGTACATTTCACACAAAAACCAACAGGGTACGTGTCAGTATGACCATCCAATTGCATTATATATTTTATGTTTCTAGGGTAGGAAAGGGAAAACTTGATTGGTTGCACTGGTCAGCATAGACAGTCCATGATTTAGACAATTTCTACAGTAGTTGAGGCCCCCGTACACACTGTACTTACTGTACGCAGTGGCTGAATCTCTCTCTGTTTGCTTTGCGCTAAGAAACATGGTCAGTGTTGTGTATGGGACATGGAAAATCTGTGGGAAACAAGAGGAGAAATGATAACATGTGAGGTAATAGTATTAAGATTTAAATTCAGGTCCAAAACTAGTCCAAACCAAATTTCCACGATTAAAATACAACCTTTTTGAATTTCGCTTAAATTTGTGGTCCAGACCCATAATGCCCTGTGCATTTTTGACCCTGGTCAGCAGCCTGGGAATGGCATTCATTTGATTGGTTTTTGCCATTTTTTTCTTAGTTTCTTTTTAGTTTTAGTAGTGTCGTGTGTGTTTTCATGAAGCGGTACTAGTCCAATATTTATCAGCAAGAGTAATAGCCCCAAAATCCTTTTTTTTATCTGAAAATAAAGGATTTTGTTCTTGTTGGTTGACCAGAGGCAGACGTTTGCATGAAGCACCAAGAGGACTAAATGTAAAGTCAGAACCCACATGGAGGTGTCAAGTAAGAAATATTTAAAACATTTAAATTAAATTTAAAAATTTAATTAAAATTAAATTAAAATTTAAAAATTTAAAAAATAAATGTATCTACAGCCCTCAGGTATGGGTGGGTAAAAAATTGACTAGAGTTTGATGGCATCGCCAAAAAAGAATTTAAATTCCACAGCATAACATGCCAAAACACACTATCTTTGATATTGTCCCTGAAGAACTGTGGTGGTTATGTAACTAGAGCTGCAGCTAACGATTATTTTCAAAATCGATTAGTTAGCCGATTATTAAATTCGATTAATCGGTTAATCGGATAAACAATAAAATACATTTTAAAAAATGGCTCCAGTGATGGACTACTAGTTTGTATTGAGATTGTCGTCCATCACAGGAGCAAGCTTGGAGCGGTGGAAGTAAAAAAGAAAAAAAAATAGTGTGGTGTGCAATATAGTGAAATGGAAAGTGTAAAATTATACAGCAATGAATGGCATCGGCTATAGAGGACTACAAATCCCAGCAATAGTACATTATACAGCGCAATGCAGAATATCACCAGCTATAGAGGAATACAACAAATCCCAGCAATAGTACATTATAGCTGGTGGTATTCCGCATTGCGCTGTGTAATGCATTATTGCTGGGATTTGTAGTCCTCTATACAGCGCAGTGCAGAATATCACCAGCTATTTAGGAATACAACAAATGCCAGCAATACATTATACATACAGTGTACAATGTATTGCTGGGATGTGTATTCCCATGTATAATATA